CCCTGACCCAGGCGCAGGACCCTGCACTTGGCCTTGTTAAACCTCATGAGGTTCACACAGGCCCATTCCTCGAGCTTGTCCAGGTCCCTCTGGATGGCATCCCTCTCCTGCAGAAGCAAGGCGGAGATCAAACTGCCTTTGCCCTGCCCTGCAAGGAGCCAGAGGCTGCTGTGCAACTGTCAGAGAGAAGTTGCTATAGAAATATTTGCTCAAAAGGGTCTGTGTTGAGGGAGCATGGAGCTCTTAAAACATCTTCACAAAAGATGCTTCTGCAATCAGAGCTCTCAATAATCCTCCTCTTTTGTAGTTAAGGGTCTGGTTCTGGCTGGCAATTTGTTGCTTTGAGCTCTCTCCATTCCTCCACAATATCAAGAAGCAAATCCTTCTGCATGGCCCAGGCTCATCACACTCAATGCTAGGCACTTGTTACCTCCTTTATTAGGAGAAGACGAACTGCAGGTGCTTCCTCTGTCAATGGGGAGTTCCGAGGACAATCCAGCTCACCTGATCCCCAGAGTCCCAAGATAACTAGGCTGTTTGTTTGAGTGCCTGAAGTTGGACAGCAGGATTCCAAGAGAGCACATCTCTGTGCTGGCTGCAGCTGGAACATGAGAGCTCTGGTTTTCAAGATCCTGGGCTGAAAAGCCAGGGTGCAAGCACACAGCAACCATCAGTAACTCTCTGCAAACAGCATCTGGCCAGTGTGTCCAGAACTGGTGGAGCATACAGCGAGTGCACTGCCAACACACTTGCGTGCAAAATGGCCTTCTCAAGGCTGGCAGCTACCGAGGCACTTGCTGCAACTGTGAAAAGAAAAATAGTGTGTACATTGAGGTCTGGCAGTACACCTTGCATGTCTGAAAAACCCTCCAGCCTTAAGACTCCTCCCTTGTGTTACAGCATCCTACTAACTGCTGTCGTCAAAGGTCACCAGACGCTTCTTCCGTAACATTTAGTGAATAATCAAGGGAGCAGGATGGGACCGGATGCACGGGGATGGTGAAGGATACAGAAATGCTTAAAGACCTCAGGGATCAATTGGCTTGTTTCAGAGCGAGGGCTGCAAGATGCTATTTAAATGACTGTCACTTTATAGAGGTTTAAATTCTGCCTGTGCTATCTGCTGACCTACATTGATGCCACCACAGAATTTAGCGCACGTCACCCTTTCTCTGTGCTGGCCAGCTGCTCTGTGCCATATCCAGCCCTCAGTGTGCTGCCACCACCAATGGGTGCCAGAACATTTGCAGCTGCACGCATTGACGAGGCTTCCAGGGCCCTCAGAGTTTCATGCTTATTTGCCATTAGCACGTTGATCATTCCCTGATCGTTTCTTGATCTTGCCATCAACAAAACCACCAGCAATTAATTTTTCTGGTCAGGCTACAGTATCATTTATTTGCATCATTTCAGTATTAAAACTGAGTATGAAGGTTTTTTTTTCTGCAGCCAGTCACTGAACGCTGCCATAATACATGCCATTACCAAGATGAGAACAGGTCATGGTAACAAAACCCATTGACAATGCCCAGCTATATTGAAGCTGGGAAGAAGTACATGACCAGGATCCGTGCTTGTGAGTGATCGTCTGGTCAGCTATGAGGCTGTCTGTGACTTCAAGAAAACAACATTAAAGATGCACTTTTTAAAGAACGTTAAGGAACTCTGTTGGCTAAGACAGAAGATCATGACAGGAAGATCATGAGGATGCATCATCAGACTTTCTTTTGTTGCTTAGCGTGCAGTTTGCCTCTTGTTCTTTCTGCCGTTGTTCTGCAGGACAAAGTTAACAACGACCCTCTCGCAGGACAAGCTGCTGCCGCCCTCCCATGGGGGCAGTGCTTCTGGGGCCACGCTGATGAGCCTGCGCCCAGGTGCAGCAGCTCAGACGCTGGACCCCAGTGCTGGGTGGCTCCTGCTGGGAGCAGACATGGACAGGCACTACAACCAGCCTGGAGCACACACCCAGCACCTTGTGCCATTCAAAATACAACCCGATTTTCTCCTCCTGAAGGGACGGAGAAACCCAAGTGCATTTTTTTTCCATCATTTCCTTCAAATTCAGACAGAAAAGAATGACCCTTCTCTTGAAGGAGCTTTTTCTGATGAACATTTCAATGAAAAATGGGAAGAAGCCAGGGAAGCAGCATCCTGCTAGTGGGTACATGCTGCCGGAGGCAAGTGGTTTGGCTACCAGCTAATGGCAGGGAACACGCTACACCGGGCTGTGCTGCTGCCCATCCCGCCAGCAGGACAGCCAGCCCGGTCCCTCTGGAAGGTGCTGGTGGGACCACGTTGACAGTGCAACAAAGGGAAATGAAACAAGACAAAATAAACAAATAAGACTCAGGTTAGACGACAAGGAAATAATTTATTTCCAGGTCCTAGAAAGACCTTGCAAAAATAACAAGGATGAGGAAATCAACCTCCTAATTTGATTGGGTAGAGAAAGAAAACCAAAGTGACTCCATCAGACATTGTGGCAGCTGCCAGCTCCTCCTGCTGGGTGCGGGTGGACAGGGACCGCGGGGCAGCGGCACACAGAGCAGCAGGCTTGCTCCACACCCCGCTCCTCCTGCATTTACGTGTGGGATAGGAATTAAAACGCAAGCGTGCGTGCATGCGTGCTGGGGAGGACTGGGTGGTTGGGGATGGGGGATAACCCAGTGGGAGGGTTGCTAAACACGTACCCTTTTCAGACCCCATCTCCTGTGGACAGAGCCCTGCTATTGCACAACACTTTCGCTAGAGGAAGGGCCAGCTCCAGAGGGGCTCGGGCACAGCTCTTGAGCCCAGAGGGAAAACACAAACACGTTCCTGAGGAAAGAGAGGGCTTTCTGTATTCTCCTGCTCTGGGGTGCGGGGCATCACCCACCTGAGGTGGCATGGCCAGAGCCCGCACTCGAGGGCCGGTGCTAAGCAGCCCGTTGGCCCCACTGCCTCCCCAGCATCATCACAGTGAACCAGCCGCATGCTGGGGCTTGGGTGCCAGCAGCAGGCGCCTGCTGTCTCCTTGGTGAGGGACCAGAGAGACCCTGAGAAGCGAGCAGCTCCTGGTCCCAGCGTGAAAGCTAAGCTGCAGCTCCCGCGTGGGCAGACGTGGCAGCAATGGTCAGGAGCAGCTGAGGGCAGAAGCCGTTGCCAAAGATGTGTCCTGCCCCTTTCCACTGCCAGGTCTTGTGCTGCAGCCAAAGGACCGACACCAGCAGCCGAGAAGCAAAACACAGTAAAAAATGAACACGCACATACATTTACAGTTAAACCTTCCCCAAGGAGAGAAAACACGGTCTGTGGCTAAACTAAAAGGACAAACCCAATGACAAGCCTTGAATGTGTCAGGCCTTGGGAGACCTTATCAGTTACCTATCAATGATATAATTGATTTTTTTCCAACATGAACAGATAAGGAACTTGCATTAGCCAGCACGGCCTGAGAAGCTGCCTGAGGACGTTGCTCAACGTGCTGCTCAATCTACCCCAGGGGAAGTTAGCAGGCTGGAAGGGCGCAGGGCACTGAGCGCATTCCTCCAGCATCATCTGCAGCCCGAGGAGCAATGGCACATCCTGCCGGCCTTCTGACCCGCCTCCCGAAACCACAGATTCCGTGCAAAGGCAGTCCTGCTGCGGGAGCTCATACTGGTTTCTTGCAGGGTACTGTGCCAGGGTGGGGACACCCTGGGTACCCCGAGGTGTCACAGACCCACTGCCCAGCCTGCGGCAACCAGCTCATCCGCGCAGCAGTGCCAGCAGGATCTGGCCTTACGCGCATGTCCTGGGGATGGCTTTTCTATTGCCAGTGGTGACGCTTTGCTGTCAGCTGGGTGTAGACAGGAATTACCCCTCCAAACCAGGGGGCTGGGGTTCTCTTGCACCCTACAGCATGGTCCTCTAAGCTGGGACGCAGCTCTCCCCCACCACTGAAGGCCTGGAAATGCTGATGTCCTGCTTTCTGCCCCACGCAACCCATGACATTTAGTAGAAAGCTAGCACTTGGCCGAGAGCCCTGCAGACCGTGGCCCAGCCTGCCGCGAGGGCCTGGCAGAGCCGGCCCAGGGAGCGCCGCTCCACGCCCCTCCGACGGCATTCCCCAGCACTGCGGCTGCTCTGTGGCTCAGGCCACAGCACTGTGCCTTGGCAGCGGACAGGATGTCCTCATCTGTCACCAGGGCCATGGGGTACATCAGGACCTCGCAGACAAAGTCCGCTGTGCAAGGCGGGAGCGAGCCCCTTCAAATCACAAGCATCTTTGATAACCACAAGAAAGGTCTAAGAACAGAGCGGAGAAGCAATTGCAGCTTAGAGGCGAAGTGTGTTTTGAAGCGAACTCTGGTGCAGCGGTCGCTCTGTGCAGGATGTGACCTTGGAGCCCACATCCAGCACATGCATCCCCAGTGCGGCGCGCTCCCTCCAACGCTGTGCCAGCAGCCAAGCGCTGCCGAGGAGCCCAGGCACAGAGACAAGGGGGACTCCAGAAAGTGAGCGAACGTAAGGGGGAAAAAGCTGAACAGAAGTTAAAAGCTTGTTTCCCTCTGCAAGGAAAGCTCTTAAAGAAATCAAAGCACTTCAAATGCTCTGACTCAAGTGACAAAAACAATCTAGACAACAAAAGGGTCCCAGTTTGCTCTTCCTCTCCTGAAGTGGGCTTACTGAACAGATCTATTTAAATGATAATTTGTGGAGGAGAAACCCCCTCCAAACTCTCTTGAATTAGATTTTCTATTTCTTAAATTAATGTGTAGTGCTTTAATGGAGACTGGTATTAAGGAGATGACGATGGCCACAGTCGCTCCTTTGGGCACTCCATGCTCACCATGCGGGTGCAGAGGCACCCCGAACAGGAGGCAGCGGCCGAGGAGCACATCACCCAGCGCTCCCCGGCCCCGCAGTGCAGCCCCTCTCCAGCAGCTGTGGAGCCCGGCCAGGGGCGCACGCTGTCCCCTCATGGCGTGGAGCCCCGCTCAAGGAAGCGCCAGGAGCCTCATGGGGGGTTGGTGGGACGACTAGGACTCCTCGCTGTCCTCCTCGCCCCTGCGCCCAGCATACAGTGCTGCCAGCTGCCGGAAACGTGGCCCCCAGGCCCCCAGGTAGGAGAAGTCTTGCTCCGAGCCACTGGACCAGGTGTTGATGGAGCTCAGGGAGGGCACGGGGGAGTCTGAGCCCTCGAAGGCGTAGGTCTGGAACGAGTCGTAGGGCGGTACAGAGAGGTCCTCATCTGCCTGCTCCACCTTCTTGCAGATATAGTCTCTGAACACGGAGAAGTCCAGGTCTGGGCTCTGCACCCACTGCGGGAGGGCATGGAGCTCAGAGGCCGAGTTTCCACTCAGGCCCCCCTCTCCTGGCCCTACTCCATCACTGCCTTTGATCTCACTGAAGTCGTAGAGACTGCGCAGAGCTGACATGTCATAGGCCTCCGTGTCCTGCTCACCACCCCCTTCGTCGTTGTACTTGATGACATTGTCTCTCATGTCCTCGTCATCCTCAGATGTCAGGTGGCTTTTGTGGTGTCGCTTCAGCGTGAGGATCAGAAGAACCAGCACTGGGAAAGGAAGAGACGGTCAGACGGGTGCAGGGGCTTGTGCAAGCTGCGCTCCCGCAGGGCGAGGATGGCCCACGCTCGGCGGCAGAGTGCAGAGGCACAGCACCCTCCAGCACGGGGAGCCCCGCAGCCGAGACCACTGGCATGCCAGCTGGTTCCTATCAGCCAGGCTCATCAAGTAGCAGCTGTGCTGTTTCACTGGCTTGGAGAGAGGTTTGCCCAGGCTCCAGTGCAGACTGGGAGCTTCCTTTCCCATGCAGCACGACCGCTGAGACAGGAGGGACAGAAAGGTGAACGCATGGCTGGACAGACAAACATATGGATTCTGCAGAAGATGAGTAGGAAAAGGGGGTGCATGAATCGCAGCAGCAGCCAAATGTCAGGAGGGTGAATGTGGAGCAGATGGCACAAAGCCTAAGCAATGAGCCGCAGCTGTGTCCTGGATCATCATCCATTCATCCCATCACCTTTAAAGCACCAATGTGCACTTTATTCGTTTGGGCAATTAGGCAGAAATTTGTTTGCACTGCGTTGGAAAATGAAACCAGTGTAAAGTGCACCCTGTGGGAAAGGGTTTTCTAAACGGAGACAAAGCAGGAGATGGGGAGCAGAGATGTGCCAAGGAGAGGAGACTTCACTGAACAATGCGCTGGCTTCCACAGATGTCTGGGCAGCCCTCAGGAGCCAGATGTGAGCGAGCACTGATGCTGGAAGGCTTTCAGCAGCAGCATCCATCAACTGCCCTATGCTAAACCGGAGGGCACTGCAACACCCCTCTCTCAGAGCCCCTTCCCACGCACACACAAGCCCACTCTTCCCTTCCACCTTCACGCTGTGCTGTCGCGGCCCAGCAGAAGTGACACACTGCCAATGTGTCAGTGCCAGCCACCAGCATTCCCGGGGTGCAGGTCCCGACTGGGGCAATGGTCTGGTTTACATCCACTCCAGCACCGCGTCCTGCCCACACGCTCACGCATGCTCTAATGCTGACCCTCCCAACGCTCTGAGGTAAGAGCGCAACTGATTGCCCCATGCCTGCTGCCCTTGGCCACCACACTGGGATACCGCCCCCCCGCTGTGAGATGCCTGCTGTGGGCACAGCATGGCAGCCAGCAAGCAGCTCTTGGCTCCTGCCCATCAAGGCGAGGAGCAAGCCAGCAGCTCTCCAGCCTCCACCAGGCAGCAGCATGCCTGCCTGCGTGCAGAGAGCCCTGCTCTGGCTGCCCACCTGAGCCCAGCGTGCAGGAGCTGGGGCAAATGTGGGAGCTTCCCTGACGGCCTCCCACTGGCAGGGGCCAGGCTTCCTGCCCTCCATGCTGCAGCTAGCAGCAAGGAGATAGCTGGCAGAGGAGCCTGCACAATGCCCACAGCAATGGCCTGTGCTTGTTTGTGTGATGGTGGATGGAGAGGAGACAGGACAGGACAGGAGGAGGCTGGGGGACAGGCGGGCACTCACCAACCAGGATGAGGATGCACACCAGCAGTGCGATGAGTGCGCCGGGGCTCAGTGTAGCTGACATGACGTAGGCTGTGCTGTTGCAGGACTGGATGGCCCCGTTGCTGTCACAGCCGCAGACACGGATGGTCAGGGTCCCCGTGCTGCTGAGGGCTGGGGGGCCACTGTCCACCACCAAAATGGGGAGCAAGTACACATCCTGCTCCTGGCGATTGAAGCCCATTCTCTGCGTGTGCACCGCAGCCGTGTTGTCTGCAGGGAACAAGTAAACCCACAGCAAAGTCACTCCCTGAGCACTGCCAGACCTCGCTGCGAGCTCCTCCATACTCAAGATGATCAGTAGTTGTTCATGTGCCAGCTCCAGCAACTGCCCAAAGAGGGGATGGGGCCTCCCTCCTCTCCATCATAGGGGAGCAGGGAGCCAGCTCTTGGCTCCCCTGCACCTCAGCCCCTGAGCAGCTCAAGCACCCAGAGGTGGAGAGCTCTGCTCCAGCACATGCTCCTTGGCCAGGCACCTTGAGGCCAGCCTGGTGTCTCACTCCACCAGTGTGCCCAGGGCACGGTGAACCCAACACAGGAGGAACAGCACACAGGTGTCTGAACTGTGCTGACAAACAACATAGTTGGAGCAGAGAGAGGGGAAAAAACTTTCCAGAAGACCCTCTGAGAGTGGCACAGAACAGGAATCAGGATAAAAATCAGTTGCTGACATGGAGACCTGAGTGGACAGGGGTCTGCATGTGGCACCGAACTTGCAAGAGCAGTTACTGCTTCCAAACACAAGAGCCATGGGTGAAGGGTCCTGCCTCAGCTGGAGGGCCAAATACCCCTAAGATCCTTTGTAACTTCTGAAGGAGAAGGCAGAGCTGCTTTCAAGCCTCCCAGGCAAGCCAGCCATCCTCCTCCCCATCTGCTCAAACCCTCCAGTTTCAGGGGCTCAGCCGGCACAGAATAACCCATTACGATCCCATTAACACGGCCACTTCATGGGACCCTCTAGGGCCCCGGTGCCAGAGATGAACCCAAGCAGCAGCTGCGCCCAGACAATCTGGAGCAGGGAGGGTAGGAACAGGGACTGAAAATCAGCTCAGCTCCCTGCTCATGTGTGCTACTCGCTGCCAGCCAGCAGGCAAGCGGGCAGGAAGGGATTGAATAGTAGCTGAACAATTGTGGCCAGATGTCAGAAGTTGCTGCCGACTGTCTGCAGTCTTTATCTAATAAAACGTAGATTGGCTCGCTCACAGCAAGTTGCTGCTGTCTACAGACTCTCTCCTCATTGCACCTGATTTATGCTGGACTGGCCCCTTTCTGTATCAATCAGCTCTTCGATCGGAAAAGACATCTATTCTAATTCTGGCTCTCGGGCTGCCTGCCACCGTGGAAATTGCCGTATGGATTGGGTGCTGCATGGGAGCACACAGGGCAGGGCAGGGCCAGGGCGTGAGCAAAGAGCACAGCAGAGGGGCCGGCACACACTGAGCTGCAGGACAGGGAAGATCCACCAGCCAGATGGGAAGCGGGGCAGATCCGGAGGCACTGCACGGCAGCCGGGGCAGAGCAGAGCACAGAGCCCCTCTGCCCACTCAGGCTGCCCAGGGCCGGGGGCAGTGCGGTTTGCGCAGGGTCCTGAGCCCTCACCCAGCTCTGCCAGTACAGAGAGGCACAGACGACCTGCCCACAGGACTGGCGCAACCAACCCCAACAAAGGCCAAGCGAGGGCTGGTCTCTGCTTCAGGGCGGTCTGGAAGAGGAGGAGCTGGGGCAATCGGTGCCCCCGTGCTGACACACAGGCGCAGAGGCAAAGCCCACCCAGCCTGTGCTGGAGCCAAGTGGAGCAGAAGTGAGGGAGATGGGCAGTCTGTGCCCAGAGGGGCGGCAGCAGTGCACGGGCTTGTGCCCAGAACAGCACTCATGGTGCTAAATAGCAGATTGCTGCTTCGTGTCGTCAGGTTTCCGGACTTGGCCCACTAGAGTTTTCTGTGTTGCCAGAATACGGCCGTGTTCCTGGGGAGAGTGAAGCCTCTGGCACCCCAGCTGGGGAGAGCTGGGATTCCAGCACAAAGGAGACAGGGTGAAAGTCATCTCTTCCAGTCCACCTGAGAGCACAGGTCTGCTCTGAAGAGCAAAATGTGGGAAAGGCAAGGACACTGGAGAGAAGGCCACACCAGCCAACATTTGGAGGCTACACTGAGTGCCACAAGGGCAATACTCAAAACTAGATCTTATTCATGCACACCAAACTGTGTTGCAGGTTACTAGAAAAAACTCTTCCTTTGGATGTAGCATCTTTTATCCATTAAGGGAATTTTCCAGGTAACCTCAACTCATCCCTGCTTGCAGCAGCAGACTTCAGGCAGGCAACATCCTCAGAAGCACAGAGCAGAAGAGAGCAATAAGGGAAATGCTTGTAGAAGTCGATCTGGGGACAGTTTGCCTAAGAAGGGAGATACTGCATGCAATGTCAGCACTCCACCTGCAGCACCCAGCACTAACCCATGCTTTGAGTCAGATGTGATCCGAGTGCTGCAGTGTCACCAGCCTGTGGAGGGGATTGCCCACAGCAGAAAGCACGATCGTTCTGCACCACAGGCACTGCCTGGCTTCTCTGTATGTGGGGCAGGGACCACCGACCCTCTGCCTGTGCAGCCACCTGGCAGGACCTCTGCCACCTCAGCTGAGACTCCTGGAGCAGCACACGGCACCAGCAGAGGCAACCTGGCAGAGCTGTCAGGAAGAGCAGGGGAGCACCAGTCCCCCAGGCAGCAGCGAAGCTGAAGCAAGTGCGGCAGCCTGCCGACAGCAGAGTCTGCTGAGAAGCTGCCTATTGCCTACGAAGGATGAGCTATGAAAAAAAATTATTGTTATGCTAATAATTTGCACAAAGGTAACAAGATCTCATTTGGTGTTGCTCCCTCAGCTTGCTGCAGCATAGCCCAGAACTATAAATAACATTAATGGCACCATCTCAGCAAGAGACCAGGACTAACTCCTAGCTAGCCCAGCTAAATCCCTGGGCATCTGGATCCAGTGGAGATGGAGCCACAGGACAAACGGGACAGACCAACTTGCTGTGAGCGAGCAAGGCTCTGGCCCTCAGCCCAGGAAGGCTGCCTTTGCTGCCACCATCATACCAGTCAAATAACCAGCCTGAGCTCGTGGTCAGATCCTGGCTCGGAGGATCCCTGTGCACACAGCCCTGTACCTCCACGTGCTGCTCAGCCCACCTCTGGCCCAGGTTTGATGAAACGCTGTGCTCGGGAGCGATCCCAGCCGCCGGGGCAAGCACCCCTTTAGTGTTGTGTAAATGTAGGCATAGCACCAGCTCCTCACCTCTCTGGAAATGCAGCAGAAGGCTGGTGACTCCCCTTCTGTTTACAGCCAGCTCCAGCTCCTGTTAGGGACCTGCCACAAGGCACACTGTATTTTTAGAAACAGTCTCCAGAAATCAAGGGAGAATGCGTGTGCAAGTCACAGAGAGGCAGCCGCTAACCTCAGCTAAGCTGAGACTGCTCAGATAGCGTGTTACACCGCCGCGTCCCCTCACCTCCAAGTACGAGAAGGAGAAATATTTTCACTGCTGACCCCACAAAGTCAAAATAAAGCAGCCAGTAATTAAATACATCAACTGCATGACAGACAGCTCTGCTCTGAGAAACCTCAGGTCAGGAAGGGGCTGAGGTCTTGCTCTGTAACCCAAAACTCAGTGCTAGGCAGAGAGACAAAAATCACAACTACAAAACACTATTTCAAACATCATGAAACTACATTTTCTCTCTTGAACAGGGTAACATGAGCACTTCCTACAGGAGGGAGATCCACAGAAATTTCATGTCTACATCTACGACATTGCTCACCAAGGCTGACATCCAGACCCCTGGCTGGCAGAGACCAGCCCTCTCCAGGGACTGAGACAGCTCCGGCTGCCTACCTGCTGCCCACCCACTGTGCCCACAGCTCCCCAGGCACCCTGGGGAAACATGTTTTCTCTGTCAGGTGTTTATAACCTGTTACTTGCAAACAACTTCTGTGTTCCCTTCTGAAATACTCCAGAAAAAGCAGTACTGCTGCCATACAATGTCATTTATTTGACCATAGAAGTGAAGAAAATTTTGCCCAGACCTGGGAAAATGTATCCAAATTAACCTCCTACAAAACAATGTAATTTCCCTTGGTACAGTTGTTTCTTTACATACAGCTGACCCAAGGCAGTTGCTTCAGGATGCGTGTCTTGGCGTACATTTGTTTGAATTAGCACAGCCAGAGTTGTTGCAAAGAAAAGCCAGACAGGCCTGGCCCTGCAACTTCTTGTGTCTCTTCTTCTGTAGCAGCTTTCTGCGAAGTCCACTTTTGGGATCACGAGGTTGAGGAGTTTTTCCCAGGAGGTGGTACTGAAATTTGAGCAGACACTAATCCACAGCTTTCCTGCACAGATGAGTTTGGATCTCCACACCTAGGTTTTCCCGTCCAGTCTTTGCAAGGTTGCAGTTTGTGCTATGGTCACACCACTCTAAAGGTTGTGCCATGCATCCTCTGAAGCCCCAAGCCGAACAATTTATTATCATTGCCATCTTGCTACACAAACTGACATTTCCTCCGCAGGTTTCCTATGTCACCCTCTCCCAGACCACACAGTGATGTGATCCCATGTCACATCATATCACCGCGCGTGACAGACAGGAGATGGCACCTCTGCCTGCTTTGAGGAGCAAGTCACCAGACAAGGCAGAAACCAATGTGAGTCGAGTGTGCAGGGACCTGTCAATACTGCTGTAAGAGGAAAGTTTAGGAACACAATATACTCTGGTGGTAGCATAACATCACTAGGAATAATAAAATAATTAAGTCTCTCAGACTCCCTCTCCAAAGAGGCTCTTGGCAGCTTCAAAGACAGAACTAATAAATCCTTCTCATAATTCAACCTCGAACGCGCTAGGAGAGCAGAAGCAAGCAAGTTACCTCCAGTTTGGATTTCGATATCCGTGCCCTCTCTCATACTCCCAGGGCCCCGTAAGCGTCTGCCCTCCCCTTCTCCAGCATCTGTTCTGCAGCTCCGGTGCCTGGGCATGCCAGCTCTGCGGAGGCGCACATGGCTCCCAGCTGGGCCCGCGGCCACACTGCCACCAGAGCTGCCCAAAAGGAGCAGACTCCCCATCCAGCCTCAGGCAGGTGCAGCTGGTAGGAAAAGAATCCGATTTTTCCCTTTTGCTTCTTCCTTCTCCAGACTTCTCTGGGTACCAGGCCACAGCATCACTGCTGCTCATTTGTCTTTTGCTTAGCCCCCATGGAGATTCAATGCTCTTTTTCATCCCCCCATCAGATCAGCATCTGTGCTGCTCATGCTGAGAATGGCATCCCTGTGGGGCTGGAGGAGGCTTCCTCTATCCTGAGGCAATCCTCAAATCCTAACACTTTGCTTTTGATTATGATCTTCAGATCTTCTATCACCCATTACATGCTCTTAATGAGACCTGCAGAGAGTTCAGACATCTGCTTGCCCAGCCCTTGAGCTCTGGAGTCAGTAGCTCCACGTGTCGTTCCATATTATCTAGCATCCCTTCCAGGTTGCTGGGCTTGGATGTTTTCTACCATCCCTTCCAACACAATTAACATTTCTTGGAGAACATGATTTCAGGCTTTAATTGCCTTTGATCCTTCTGTAATCAATTTTCTTAGGCCAGAAAGACCCAGCAAAAGGCAAGTTAGGAGGCAGAGGACGGTGCATGAATGCCTTTGGAATGGCACCACTGGGCCTGGGTGAGGTCAGCTTTTCCAGTTCTACCTCTTCCTTTAAGCACTTAATTTGCCGGGCATCTTCCTTCTGGATCAGAGCTGTTGTTACCATACATGGTATTTATTCCTTGTCCAATGAATTAGGAAGTGCCTGAACGCTCCCTTGGGCAGAGCAAAAGCAAGGAAAGGGAGATACCAGTAGGAAACAGCACCGTTTCTAAAAGCCTGGGTCCTGCAAATCAGCTATAATTCAGCTAATGCAAGGTCTCCTGCTGGGGTACCTTTTGCTCTTGTAGCTCTGACCTGGCACATCAAAGCCAAGGCAGCTCTGCGTGCCGCTGGGCGCTGGCAAGCAGGGCTGCAGACGTTAACCGCAGGCCCTTTGCAAGGGCCATCCCCACTCTGTGCAGTTTTGGCTGCAGTGGGGCCTGACCCAGCGGGGCTCGGGCAAGCAGCAGTGTTGTGACTGTATTGTGGCAGTATCGGGCTGCAGCAGACCCGCCCTGTGACCACTGCTATCTGCCCACTTACTAGCAGGTACTCCACAAGCTGTTCACCTGGTGGACAGGCTGCCCCATCGATCACTCTGGGCTTGCCCTTAAGCCCTACAGGCTTCCTCCACGCCATCCACGAGGAGCCCTGGAAAAGCCTAGATAGCATTCAGCATCCTCTCCCGGCCCCCTGGGCTATCCCACCAGGCTCTGCTCCCACCCGTGTAACGGGGCTCTGCACTTCAACCAACTCTCACTCCTCCTGCTTCCCCAGCCTCCTGCGGGGCCGGTCCTGCCAGCAAGGTGCCTGCCCGAGCAGCCACCCCCCACGCTCCCCTGCCCCCTGGGGCGCACCCAGCAGCCCCCCCAAGGGAGCCCCTCTGCGCTGCGGCCAGCTCCGAGCCTCGGACACGTCTCTGGCAGCACACAGCGAACCCGCTGCTGGCCACAGCCACCCAGGCTCCCCACCTGCCAGCCCTGCCATGGCCAGGGACTCTCGCCCTGCCCGACGAACCGTAACGGGAGTGTTCCTGAGTGGATGCTGGTCCCTGCCGTGCCCAGGACAAGTCACCCTCCCGAGGTGGCTTTCTGCTGCCTTGCAGGAGCCAAGGGAACTTAAGTGCAAAGCAAAAGAGAGAAGGATTTAAGCAAGAGCTTAGCGAATCCATCTGTGCTGACATCCATCAGTGTCACTCCTTGGCTGCAAAAGCAATATTTATAAATCACATTTCAAAACTGGCTACAAATTTGTACAAAGAAACAGATGGGCTGGTGGTAGCAGTTTGTCACCACGGATATTTATATGGAGGAGTAGAGACAAGTGCAAGAGGGGTGAACGCATGAGGGGAAGGCAATGCGGGGGAGAAAGGAGGATGCAGCAAGGGAACCCACGAGAGAGGGAGCAAAGGCAAATGCAGCCAGGGTGCTCAATGAACTGGAGAAAGGAGAGGGGGGGGAGGGATCAAAGGAAGGGAGGTGACACTAAAATACACACACGTTAGAAATGAGGGGTGTCTCCGACTGCACGGGCAGCTGCCTCCTCTTGCTGTGGAAGACAGCATTGCTTGGCAATTGGGAGGGTCTCCAAACACCGTGGGAATAACCGTGCAGCAACAGCATTTGTTTTCCTGAGAGCAGAAGGCAGGAGGTGATGCCAGCTTTTACTCATTTTATGCAATGTTGCACCACATGCAAAGTTTGTGGGGTCGTTTAGCAAGAAGGATTACCCTGTGCAGCGAGAGAGCCTCGTCCCACTCAAGAGAGCAGCAGCTCTGGAAGAGTCGGCCGGACTGTCGGAAAGGGTCGGTGGTGCACGAGCCTGCATCCTGCACCCTCCTGCAACACCAGCTCTCAGGTTGCTGCTGGTGAACCCCTGCTGCTGAAGTGGGAGCAACCCCCACACAGCGCCAGGCAGCAAAGCAGCCCCCACTGAGCTCCAGCCACTCCTGGCCAGGTCCCTCCTGCCAGGCAGGCAGAGCAGCAGTGATGGCTCTGGGATCGCAACCCAGCTGCAGCAAACATCCTGGCTGAGAGTGGGGAGCATGGCCCTGGGGCCCTCGGAGCTTCTGGAGGGGTCCGGGTAGGGACAGACACCAGGGTGCAACTCAGTGCGCTTAAGCATGCTTTCATAAGGTCCTTCAGAGAAAGTGAAGGAAGTTAATCACTGGGCATGGGGCAAAATCTTGCAGAGGATTAAAACTTGCTTACACGATAAGAAGGAAAGGTCTTGTGAACAGCTGCCCTGTGAGTGCAGAGGGAGGGACTCAGGTCAGGGACACCTGCACTTTTTAGAACACAAAGCAATATCAGTCCTTCTATGATTATGTCTGAAGCTTTTTGCCGGAGGTTCCATTTTGACTATCCCTGATATTACTGAACCAAACTGAGCAAGCAGGATCTAATGTCAGCAGAGGATTCCACTGATAAGCTCAGAACAAACTAAATCAAACTTTTGACAGATGAAATTGCAAAAACAGAGGAAAAAATGGTTAAAAAAAACCCCAACCAAAACAAAGAAGCATTTCAGTGTGGTCTGCTGGCTTCCAACATGGCTGGCCCCTTTGTCAAGTAAGTGCACGTCTGGCTGGAGAAGATCCCAGTATCTGCAAGGGTCCCTGCTGTACTTACTGCTGCAGTCAGCACCTAAATTCACCTAAAACACCAGTCAAAAATAGGAAGCAGCCTGATAACTACCTTTCTAGACAGTTATTATCCACACAAATGCAGCCTGACCCTGCAGTCCACAAAGCCAAATAGCAGCCAGGGCTCAGCCAGCAAAACCTGCATTGTACCTCCACTGCACTGCTATCGGTTACAGCAGCAGGCAGGGATCCAGTTGTCTGGAGCCCCTCAGCCCAGAGGTGCAAAGAACCCCAGGGCTTCCCAGAGGAACAGACGGGCCCTTCCCAGATGCATTTCCCAAAGGGCAGGACGAGCCTCAGGAAACACAGAGGAGCCATGCTCCCGCACTGCTACCTAACAGGGAATCCGGCTCTGCTGGCTGTGTTCCAGATAACCCGCAACGGCCGAGGGCTGGCTGCTGCACAGCCCCGCTGTCTCCCAGGACTCCTGAGCTGCTCCCATTTGTCAGGGACACAGGGGCTGCCCACCTGCATGGTGGTCCTGGGATGACCTGCACTCCAGGGTTTACCTCGGAGAGTGATAAGTCATAATGCTCAAAACAGGAGCATGTTCATCTGTAAAGCCGCATCATCTCCTTACCTGCATGCAGGTTGGAGATTTCGTATCAATAAAGGGACTGAGAGCCATGAAAACATCGAAGGCTACCCAGACAGCACAAGAGGAGCTTTGGACCTGTCTGCAGCAGAGAAGAAAGCTGGCAGAGCCTCCTTGAGGAAATCCAAACTGCTAGCCACCATTTCAGGTTGGCAAGGAGCCTTGCAGGGTGCCCAAAGTGTCCTGAGCTCCATCCAACACAGATGGACTGTAAGCTCACAGCCCCATCTCCCTCCCCACAATGAGAGGAGGCTGCAGGACTGAGAAGGGTGCAGCAGGGCTTACCCTTAATATCCAGTAGTGAAAAATAGTGGTTGCTGTTGGCTTCAGGTGCCAGTGTGAAGTAGAAACGATGGCTGCTCTGAGGCTCATCACGGTCCACAACACTTATTGTCTGGATCAGCTATGGGGAGAAAGGAGAGGTGAGAATCACTGCTGCCTCCCACAGCCCCTTCCACGGTCCCCACTTGCAGGGTCCATCCCAGCAAAGCATCACTGGCTTCTGCCACAGTGAGGGACAAGCTTTTGCCCCTATGGATGGGCTTAGCTGTAGGACACCAGCAAAGTGGTTCCCCATGTCCCCTCCCAGCTTCCCATGCACCCCCAACCTCCTTGCTAGCAGGCCAGCACAAGAAGCTGGACTGTCCTTGACTGCTTAGCAGCAACCCAAAACATCAGCACCTTATCAACAGTTTCTCATCCCAAATCCAAAACATAGTCTCACACTAGCTTCTGTGAAGAACACCAGCTATACCCTGGCTGAAACCAGGATAGGCAGCAGCTGCACGAGAAGATGTTCAGACAGAAGGGGAAGGACAGGCAGGCTAGCGCTGGTCCACAGCGCTGCTTGCAGCACGAGACTGCTACAGGTACTGATGGAGACCTGGGAGAAGGGCTAGGGGACACCTGCTACCTGGCCTGGCTTGGCATCCTCACACACAGCAGCTTCATAGGGGGTGGCAAGCTCAGGCGGGTTGTCATTCACATCCAGGATGCGGATACGGAGAGAGGTTCTTGACACCTGTGAGTGATTATCTGAAACAAAAAAAGGAGCAGAGCTTCAGCCGGAAGTGCCATCAGCTGCTAGCGGGAAGCAAACCCTCCTCACCTCTGTCCGTCCAGAGGCCGTCGCAGCTGTGCAACTACTGCCAGCGCAGGTCGCACAGCACTGCACCTCTGCCCACTTGCAGCACAGACCATCTCTGTGGGCCATCAGCACCCACGGAGCATCACTCAGCCTCACCACACTCATTTTCCAGTAAAGAAACACAACTTCTGGGCTGCATACCAAGGACTCCTGAAATGCTGCTGTCGGCCTGATCTATCCCTGGAAAAGCTGAGCAGCCCCAAGCAAGTCCCTGCAATAAGGGTCAGTCACCACTGATGAGCATCTGTGCGGCAGCCAGAGAACACCAAGAGGGGACAAGCAAATTCAGATACGAGAACATCACACCCTGACTTGGATCCTGCCCCTTACACCCCAGGGATCAGCACAATGTCTGAGAGGCGAGCGAGCAGAGCCAGGACCCGAAACAGCTGGGATCAACTAAGAGCACAGGGTGGTAATGAAATCTGCCACTGCACCTCCACCGCACCCACTGAACGCTCCCTGCCAAGGTGCGGGGCTCCTGCCCTGGGACCCAGGCCTTGCACACTAACGCTGGTTTTTGTGTTACCATCAGCAGCTTGAACTTGAACTGAGCACCGCCTGCCCACCGGCACAGGGGGGTCACGCACTGAGATCTAGGGCAGCTCCTTCAACCCCGCGCACGCCAGCCTGCGCCTCGCGCAGCCCGCTCCGCTCCCTCAGGGAGCATGGGGCTGCTGGCCGGGCCAGGGCTGTGCCCGCCGGTGCCGCTCCGGGCTCACTCCGCACACGGGATGGGGAGAACATTTACGGCTCCGTTCACTGTAGTGCTGCTCTATCCCATGCGCAGACGGCAAAGGTACATTGAGCCCTTGCTGTAAGGTCATAAGTCACTCTGGAGGGCCCAATGTTTTCTGAAGCACGTCATGCGCTTCCAGAGATGAGAACTCCCTCAGACGCCATCTCCTTTGTTTTACCTAGAGGTTGCAACTGTGACAGACCCAATGCCTCTCTCCTCGCTTGGGCAGGAGCTTTGCTGCCTGTTTGTCTATAAAATTAATGCTAGCCCCCACAGATCAGGTGGGGGAGGACCAAGGGGAGAGGAGATTTAGCACTGCTCCATAATTAGCTGGGAACCTAAGCCCCCTTCCCAGTGCTGCCTTCACCCCGTTCTCACATTATCACTCCCTCTCACCCAGACGAGCTGCTCTGGTGATTAGATGGTTGTTTTTGGGGGAGTGAGGCAGAAATCGTGACTAAAAGCCAGGAACGATGTGTTATTTTAAAAGGTGTGTTGGTGCAGTAAAATAAACTGCAATTGCTTTCAGGGAGAGAGAAAAGGGGAGGGAGCGGGGAGGGAAGGGAGCCCAGGGGAGGCAGAGGGGTGGACCTGATGCCTGTTAGGGCCACAAACAAGCAGGAGCAAGAAAAGAGTTCAATTCCTGCAAGAAAGATGACAGCAGCTCATCACCCCCTCCTCAGCTTGCAGGAGGATGGGTAACTGTCCCTGCTGCTCAGCTCTGGAGGAAGCTAGCATTGGCCTGGAGGCACTGCCGAGAGAAAGGTGAGGAAAGGCAGAAAGAGAAGGGAGGAAAAAGAGCCCAGGACCCCATCTTTTCCCCTTCCTAACTGCAACCTGGAGCAGCAGTTCCTTCCCTGATGCCCCACAATGCCCAAGCCAGCTGTGAGCAGGAGTCGATCCCAGTGCTGCCAAACTCTCCCCAGGACCTGTCAGCATGCCGTGTGCCACACAGGCTCTGCGGGGCCAGGTCGGGACGCCTGGGTGAGCCTGAGCATGGCATCTTCCTGTGGAGATCGTCTCTCACACCCTCATCAGGAGGGATGCAATCAGTGTATTTAGAGCTGACAATAACCACAGGTCCGTCTTCTTCCACAGCATCAGCAAGCAGCTGCCAGGAGTGTTTTATGCTGGGCACATGAATGGGGTCATCCATACGCCATGGCACAATGCCAAGGACCTGCACCAACCCCTCTGCCAGAGCCGTAAGTAACACCCAGCTCAAAGCACAGTTCTCCTTTCTAAATGTACCCTGTCATAAAAACCCTCTCCTCTTGCCTCTTCCAAAATTGCTGAAGCCCAAGGCTCACGCTTACTCCTGGCTCAGTGACAGGGTTAAAATTTGACATCTCTAGAAACATCAAGGTTAGAAATGCGACCATTGCATTGCTGTCTACTCTTCCAGGGAGGCACACAGTGGCTTCTTTTTATTTTGGCTGTACCATGATCTATTTGAAGGTTCCTCAAATGCTTTCTTTATCAACCTCCCTCTTCCTATGAGCCAGTACCTGGATTTATAATATGAAAAATGGTTGGATGTATTTGAAAAAAGTTATCTCCAAAACATCTCTGAAATGTTTTCTGTAACATAAACTGAATTTATGATGGTCAGAAGTGCGATTAAGATTGTTGGAGTACATCTGCGAGGAAAGGCATGATGCAGCTAACAATGCAGACTTCCCATCTGCAAGGCCAAAAGCTCTGACCTGTGCTTCCTCTACATGCACAGAAGCGTGCATGCATGCATGCACCCCTAGACATGCTCCAGCAGACAGAAGTAAATGCTCAGCAGGCATGTACACTGCCAGGAAGAACAGCAGACTGGGTGAGGGCTGCGGGAAGGCACAGAAATGTGCCCTTGAAGGCCTCTGCCAAGCAGCACCTGGCCAGTGGCTGGGACGGAGGGTTGCACGTGCCAGGCTGAGGGGGACTGGAGAAGGAAAAAAAGTCATCTTCCATCGCAGCGTCTTTCCTCAGTATTCCAGCTCAGCTGACTGACATGCAAATTAGTTTAATTATTTCTTCTTCTAAAATAAATTGTATTTTGCAGTGGCTGCAATATGTTGTGTCAGGCAAAATTACATTCAATATTTTTAAACTAATTGATGTCAGCCTTGAGAAAACCTGACTGACAGCAGCGAGGAAACTAGGCTGCTACCTAAACGCTTTCCTAAATTAAAATTAAACATGCCATTTTTCTGCATTTCCTCCAGGAGTTGGAATGCTATTAATCTGAAAAGACTGAGGAAAGAGACATGGAAAACACATAGAACAAGGGGGAGATGCTGGAAACACAGCAGTGCATGAGGGAGCTCCAGGCTGGTGACTGGCATCTGCCTTTGCCAACACGGGCCAGATTATTTCATAGACGCTGAAGCCTGCTGGGCTTGGGGTCCAGAGGTTTACCTATTGCTTCAATGCTGCAGCATCTGCACCTCCTCAACGCTACAATCAGAGCGGCTCAGGACAAGCAGCGAGCACAGCCCGGACCCCCTGTGCTGAGGTGTTGCTTGGTGGGCAGCGCAGGGACGGGCAGCACAGTGGCTTTGGAGCAGGAAAAAGCCGTCCTGCTGCACGGCAATGCTGAGGCCAAGCCTCAAATGTTCCAGCTGAATCTTCAGTCACATCCCAAAACTGTTTTTTCTTAATTTAATTAACCATGCAAGTAATCTGAACAGAACAATATTCTTGTCTTAAACATTCAGATGCAAAATGACAACAGCTTACCCTCTCCCCTGGTTCCAGACAGCTGACTGCCTGTAGGACTGATGTCAAGCAGCTCCAGGCAACTGCTCTCTAACGCTGGAAGCTTTGCAGCAGAAGTTCACAGAGATGGGAAGGGATTGCCAAGATGCTTGGCCACCCCTGCCATGGCAGGAACAGAGGGGAACTGTGGTTACTGCTGCGCTGGGAGCCAGTCCTTACCCTGCCAGAACCTCACACAAATGCACTATAAAGCACTTTGCATGTTTACACCCAAATCTCTACTGTGAAGCTCCAAATCCAACCATTGCTGAAGCACACATACTGTTTGCACTCCTGCTTGCACACATGGCCGTGTAATGATACCACAAGCAGAAAGGCACTCTGCAGCTCTCCTGGGGTCTGAAGCACGGTTTGAGGAAAGCCCAAAGGACTGCAGGCTGCTGTTTGTGGCTGCAGCACCTGGGAAAACACAGCTCGTGGACACCACTGGGCACGATGTTTGACCCACTCTCTTCTGCATCCAAGACCAAATTGGTACAGTACTAAGTACTGCCTTCAAAAGAGGCAGGGGTGGAATTTATTCCTCACTATCTCAGCAAACTGGGAGAACAAAATACAGATTAGAAGACTGGGATGGGCCACTCTGCTTTCCAACATTTGTGCCATGGCTGTGAAGCGCAGGGTGGTTTTGTAGATGTCTGCGCAGCTGCTCGACTGCAAAGTAGAACATTGATGGCAAGGACAAAGTAGGGGTACGGCGCAGACACAGGCAGGTACATCAGAGGCTGGAGCTGAAAACGTGGCTCCCAGCCGAGGGGAAGCAAAGCAGAAGCAGCAGTTAAGCCAAGTAACATATAAATGGCTCTCACCTCTCCTGAGTCCTGCCTGAATGCAGCAGCATGAGAGTCATTAAATCGCATCCAAACACAATGCTCTGATTAAAGCCAGTCTCCAGCAGGAAGATTTATCATCTCAATTACCAGCAGTGGACACAGCAGTCAAGGCCTCATCATTTTACATGAGCAAAGAGGAAAACAGGAAGAGAATCACTAATATTAGCCCAAGGAAGGTAAACAGCTTGTGAGCGAGATGAAGATTTATCTCTGGAAACGCTTGGCCTGGTCCCAGGCCAGATTTGCTGAACAGCCCCGATGCTTCCTGCTGGCTGCCACGTTGCAAGGCCAAATATTCTGCTGGTCACCAGCCAGCCGAGGCAGCTCACGCTGGGGCTTGCCTGTTCTGCAGGGGAGACCTGCCCCTCCTCTCCTTCCACCAGCAGCAGGCAGCCCCACCAGCCTCACAGGTGCAGCCAGGCACCTTCTGCAGCTTTTCTTATTGCTCCCCAGATGCAAATACACTCTCTTTGGTTATCTGTAGGTGTGGCACACATCCCTGGCCACGGTCTCTGCTTTGGCAGCACCAGGTCCCAGATGGGGCTCTCCAAGGTGTAGGGACAGCTCTTGCATTGAGCTGCTCAAACCGAACGGACAGGCTGCCTGCGGGAACAAGTGCTGTCAGTGAACAAGCTTTCCATCAGGCGACATTTGTTAAACCCTTCTCAGGACAGCCCTGTCAGCAGGCAGGGAGGACAACTTGAGGTCACAGGGAGACAAGACCTTGTTGCAATGCACTGCAGGCCACGTGCCTGCATGCTGCGGGAGTCGAGCAGGCATGGCTTCCCAGCAGCCCCAGTGAGCTGGGGTGCCAGGCATGAGCCCAGGCAGTAAGATGTCTGGTGGGTTTGCTCCATTCCTTCTGCAAAGTTCAGATCTCACTGAGGAAAGAGGAAGAGTATTTTACCACTTGCCCCCGCCGGAGTTGATGACATCCTGCCCAGCCACGCAGCAGACCCTGCGACAGCCAGCTGCAACCCGCATGCCCGCAGCAAACACCACAGAGCTCTGCCAGCTCCCCCTGGCCCCAGAAACGAGCGTGCCGGGAACCGCCATGCCGGATGCACCGATGCCAGCACAGGGACTTCCAGCTGCCCTGTGCTCATGCAGCCGTGGCCAATCCCACTGTGCTGGGCATGGCCCAACAGCTGCTGAACAGTCCTCCTTCGAAACCCCTCTATCACTTGGAAAGCTGTGCCGTTACAACTGCCCTTTCTGCCAGAGGATTCAGACATAAATTGTACTTTAAATTCAATATCAGTCATTAATATTTCATGATTACAAAACATTAAGGATAATGTCACTGGGAGGAATGTCTGGGCAGTTAAAATGGATGAGTCGGAGCTCACTGATGGGAGAAGTCAGAGCACTGAAGAGTCTCCCCGTCTTTTGAAGTGATCCAGCCTGACAGGCTTTCCTGCCAGAGGGGAGCTGCAGCATTTACTGAGTTGTTCTGAAATTCTAACCGCTGTGTGTAAATATTGTCCTTCTGATTCTTGTCACCTCATGTTTCCTCTGGATGCTGCGCTGTGCTGTCAACGCTGTGATACCCTCCTCCCTGGCCACGACTGGCAGAGCCTCCCCACAGAGCCGCCGGATGTGCTGCAGCTCTGCAGTGGGCTACAGTCCCTCCGGTGTGTCCGGGCAGCATCAGCATGCCTGCTCATCGCTGCCTGATGCCAGGCAGGGCTCACAACAGCACCACAGCCAGATGGTGCAGAGGTCTCCCCAGCCGGCAGGCACACAGCATCAGTGCCTCTGCGCTGGAGACACACAGAGGAGCCAGAGATGTCCCTCCCAGGGCAGCGCGGGTCTGGACGGGGCCACTGCCCCCTCCTCTCCTGGCGCAGCAGGGCCTGCACCCTGGTGTCCCAGCCCTCCCAGAACAGATGGCTACCACTGTGGCAGGGTGGCCCTGCAGCAGGAACCAATCTCTGGGCCCCAAGTCAGGCCCCAACCTGGCTCCTTGAATGTGAATGGCATCTTCCTACTCAAGAATGAGCAAAGAAACAAGAACCAGAACTCCTGAGGCGTCTCTGGGAGCGAAACTTGGGGAAGGCTCCTGCCCACAGACAGACAGGTCTTGGCACACACCTGCAGATGTCAAAAGATGCTTCGCAGTCAAAGCAGCTCCCTGGTACCAACTGTGGCAGTGTGGCAGAGCACAGCAGGTTCCCTGGCGACTTGTGCATCCAAAATACGAAAAACTTTGAAGAATATGGCAATGCCTTTCTGCTTCCCAGTATGGTGTCTGGGATTGAAGCTGCTTCTCCATCTTCAGGCTCAGAAAAAGGAGGAACGTAGAACATTCCCTGGGGCCCACGGGGCCAGATCCACCATTGTGCACGGCGACCTGCAGAACCCATGAGCCAAGGCACTGTGCAAACATGACAGAGGGCAGCAGGATGCTCAGGGCAGCTTCCTACCCACAGCAGAACACCTGCAGGGAAGCAAAGCTTGCCCTTTGCTGCTATTACTTTCTTTTCATTCCTCAAGAGGAGGTTATTCAGAGCTCCTTTGAACAGCAGGACCTAGATTTGTTCTTTTCTCTTTTCTCCAGTTAAGACAAACAGAACTTCTGCTGGAATCATCCATGCCAGGCTCTGCCACCCCATCATGTGGAGGGAAGATATGCTAACAAAACCTGCAGAGCCACTAAGCTGTTCCCTCCCAGCTCTCCCAGCTGGGTGTGAGCAGCTTTGGCAGTTACTGTAAATACAGGCTAAAGCATAGCCCAGCCATAAGGGAAGGAAGGAACCACCAGGGCTCTCACAGAAGGGTCAGAAAGGACCTAATTTCAGAAGAGAACAAAAGAGCTTCACGTCATCCTCTGCCTGAGACTTCTCCTGGTGGGCTGCAGAGTGAGGCCAAGCACTGCAGCCAGAGCCAAAGCAGCCTGGCAGTAGCAACCCTGGCAGCACCGCTGCTCCCCATCCCCAACACGGGGGCTCAGGGACACTGTCCCCACAGACCCTTCCCACTGCTGCAGTGCCGGGACCTCCTATCCACTCCGTGCTGTGCCTTGCCAAGCCACACCAAGGGCACACCAAGGGCAGGGAGACCGAGAAGGAAGGGCATGAGAGGCATCCAGAGCCACATACCCAGAGTGCAGGTACAGCCTGCAAATCCCAACCTCTGTGAGCCCTCAGCAGAAGTGAGTGCTTGCAGCCATCTGTGCCGCAGTGCTGCAGCTGGTGGGGCATCCACCCACAGCACATGGCTGAACCAGGGGGATGCAGCGATGTGAACACAGACCCCCCAGGAGCCCCCAGAGCCACTCAGCAGGTGTGAATGCAGGGAGCGAGCTGCACAGGGATGACTGGCAGAGCTGGCACATACGTAACACAAATTTGATTAGTGTTTATCAAATACACTATTCGATCATGCTCCCTTATTTATGCTCGAGTCAGGAAGAGTATTTTTAGGTTGTCTAGGGAGATATCAGACTCAGCACTGGTACTTATTTTTTTTTTACTTAAGTGTTAATTAACACTTGCATCTTGGTCACCTCTGCATTGAACGCACCTGTATTTACCCCTCTGCCCTACTCCAGTCCAGCATGCTGTCTGCTCCACACAGCACACCTCCATCTCACCTGCTTCCATTGCCAGGACAGTGATGTTATGCCACCCTGCCGTTTCCCGGTCCAGGACCTTTCCTGTCACAATGGCACCTGTGTTGGCATCGATGTCAAAGATCCTCTCTGCGTCCGTGCTGCGGTCGATGGCGTACCTGAGACCAGGCAAAAGGGGAAACTGTGAACAGATGGATGTGCCAAGCCCAACCTCTCCATCAGCCCCAGGAGTATAGGGTTCTAACGCAAAAGGCCCTATATCACTACTGTCAGTTTTCTTCTGCTGCAAGCATGGTATACAAAGGCCACGTTTCTACCAGGCTGCAAGCCCAGAGCCCTCAAGTAAAATTAAAGTGTGGCTTTCGGTGCATAAAGTGGAACTAAGCACAGACTGGGGACCAGGGGAAAACCTGCTCTGATGGAAACCTTATGCTCAGGATAGACAGAGCAGTATAGAAATCATGAGCTGTAACTCCACTCATGACTCTGGGAAGCCTCTGAGGTTCAGGAAAGACATCAACCCAACCAAAGGAGGGCACCCCTACTTGAGGATTCCACCTCATCTACCACCCTCTCCTGATTCTGCCACAGCACCCACCCAACTGAGTGGCCTGGAGGACAGTACAGCAGCACGCAGGCAGGCTGTGAGCCAGACCTACAGGTAACCTGAACTGCAGCTACAGCAATTAGAATTGGCAAGGTCTCCTCTGACCAAGTCTCCAGCCTGAACCTGTGCAACTAGAGCAAGAACCTTGGCAGCAGAGAGGTGGGCAATGGCCCGCATCCCCACAATCAACACAGCACATCATCCCCAGCAGCCCTGAGATTTGCCTCCGTTTGGGTTTCCCAGTTTCACAGGAGCAGGCTGAAGAGCTCCTCCAGCTCCAGCTGGCTACAGCTGCTCAGCAGAGACCCTTCACATGCAGCTCACACTCTTCTCCTTCAGCTGTTCCAGTGCTGCCCAAAACAGCCCCCTCCCTGTAACCCCATCAACAGCCCACCCACTCCCTGTGCCACCTCTGGAGAGCAAGACTCCCAGCTCTTCCCAAAGGGCAACAGCACAGCTCATGTGAAGAATCAGACACCCGGGTTTAGCCCTGCACCTTAGCCATGACACCACGAGCCCACGCAATCAGTTCCAGTGGCATGTCCTGCATTTCCAACCATTACACATGGAATAAAGCAAGCTAACATTAAATCAGGGCACAATTAGATGTGTGCTCCTTGGAGGCAGGGATGGGAAGCCTGATCCAGCTGAGGCCCTCGAGCGCAGCCGTAACACAAACACCACACACCACCACTGCAATGAGAATTAGAAATCCAGAAGGCCTACAAAGCACAAACAATACAGCATAACGTTATTGTGTACAGCATCCTTCATACATACTGCATCCCAGAGTGCTTTACAGAATTAAATAATACAAGACAGCAAAGAGTACAAAGGATAAATTACCAAAAAGAGGGCTATGAATAAATTAAAGCCTTCAGTCACATGTCCAACAACAGAAGGAAGATAAATGCTGGGACAAAGCAAGCTGAAAAGCTGACGAGACAGGACAGTATTGAGAGGCCATGTCAGACAAGAGGAGCAGAGCAGGACAGGCTCTAGCCTAAAAACAAGTTCAGGATGGTGGAGGCGCTCTGCACTCTGCAGGGTGGCTTTCCCACGTTCTTGTGTCTCGCCAGCCCAGCTGTGGCCTGTGGGTCCATCATCCACATGGCTCACAGCTGAGGAACAACAGCTCACCTTCTGCATGCAAGCATGACCACTCTGCACAGAGGCATTGATGGCCTCCATGCCTTTCTGTCCCATGCCCTGGGGGGGAACCAGCTGCAGATGAGAGTTCCCTCTGAGGGGCACCTATCCACACAGCCAGGCAGCTCTCTCTCTGATGGAGGCACATTCAAAGGCATTTATACACTGTTTAAAGTGTTATACGGTACCAGATTACATTCCCTAGCGCTCTCCCTTTCACACAGCGTGCTGGCTCCACTATACCAGCTACTATGAAGAAAATTAGCTCCATCCTAGCTGAGCTGAAACCAGGACAGACAGACTGGGGGATGAAAGAGAAAGGACAACATCACTTGCTTGTAGTTAAGTAAAAATGTTCAAAAAATCACTATCTAAATGGCATCTGCATGTGTGCACAACCTAACATGTTCTGCACCTATGTGGCTGGTTTCCTCCCCCCTCCTTGTGTCTAGAAGCAATAGGGATCTGCCACACAAAGCCAGGTACAAGCCTACGCATCTCTGAACCAACTCCAGGACTTCCTTATGATCCTGTGTTTTCTGTTCCAACTTCCAGCTGGAAACAGAGCCTCTACAGGCATGTAGCCAGCTCCAGACGGGACAGTGACACTGTCTTAGCACATACTGCAGCGTCTCATCCACTCTGTGCTTGCTCACTGCAAAGGGAAAGGAGAGGTCTGGACACTCTGACTTATACAAATCAGCCCAATGCACTGCTGGAAGGAGGAACAGAAATCAGGATGACACCACCTAGTATCTTTCCAATAGCATAACTGATGCATTTGCATGACTGCTTCCATTGTTCTCCCACATCACCTGACCTCAAACACATCCTGTTACTCCATTCCACTTTTTAATACTGTTAGAGTTGAAGATGGTACTTGACTCTCCATATGCCTTCCTTGCTTCTTGGGTAGGCACATGCCTGTTTTGTTCACATTCATGTAATTGCTGCATAAACAAAGATGTCTGCAGAACATAGCTACACAGAAAAACCCAGTTAGTGATGGGAGATATCACTGAGACCGGAAACTGGTATCTGCCAGTATCTGAACAGCCATCTGATAATGGCTGCCTGCCTGGCCAGAGGGCAGGATGCTTGGTAGGGGAGCACTCTGCCTCATGTCACCAGTAACCTTTTTGTATGCTTCCAATTGTTTTACTGCTAAGGTTGTCTTCCTTAGTTGGAAGTTGCACCAGGGGGGGTTTGGACTAGATATTGGGAAAAATTTCTTTACTGAGTGGTCAAGCATTGGAACAAGCTGCCCAGGGAGGTGGTAGAGTCACCATCACTGGAAGTATTCAAAAAACGTGTGGACATGGCACTTCAGGACATGGTTTAGTGGGCGTGGTGGTGTTGGGCTGATGGTTGGACTTGATGATCTTAAAGGTCTTTTCCAACCTTAATGATTCTGTGATTCTGCCACCTCCAAATTGTCTGCTGAGGACTGACCGCCTGTACCCTATAACAGGGCACAAACCAAACCAGATCTCTCTTACTAACGCTAGAGAGCTACCACCTTCTCAACATGGTGCCAGGGAAAGGAGGCAGAGCTTTGCGTGTTGCCTCCATTTGCCACAAAAGCAGGGCTGAGCCTGTTTCTACACACTGTAGAAACAGTGTTTCTGTTCCAGAAACAGGTCAGAGCAGGTGGGTCTGTACCTCCCCATCTGTGCAAAGTGCTGTGGATGCCCTGGAGCTCTAGGCTGGTACTGGAGTTGGGGAGCGAGGGGGGACAGGGATGTCCATCCACACCACAAAGCCACAGCCATAACCTGCTCAGAGCTGCAGATCAAACCGCTCCACACTGCTCTACAAGACAGACCTCCCCTTCCAAGAGCTTATGGCTAACCCTGTGCTAGAATGAGAAGCTATCCATTGTGCTCATTTTACATAATTTTGTGCAATATGATCTTTACCAACCAAAGTCTGTGCTGACCATCACAAGCCTCTCCACCTCTAGTAGTCGAGCTTCATATTTGTCCATCCCACAGAAGTCAAACAGTGCTTCTCACCTGGGAAGGGGTAGCAATTAATCTCTGGGCCCTCCAGGTACTCAGGGATAGGACATACGCTTATTCCTCCTAAAGCTGGCTTGTGCTCCATATCTGGAACTGCAGTCCTGAGCTCTGATTGGGATGCAGACCTTGTAATCCATTTTCCTCTCTTCCTGCTGGCACTGCCTGTTGGTTTGGATGTTACAAGTGACTGTTTAATTTAGACAGCTTTCTTGGTGCTCATCTTTCTCGTGAATGCATTACTTAAGCAGTTTGTTTCACTTCTCGCCCTGAATGCAGCAAGGAGCACATTTTATGCCATGTGTTTCATTAATAGTGAGCTTTTCAAACACTCTGAAAAGCTTTTTGTTGTGTTTGTTTTTTCCTCCTCTCCCTTTTGTGTTGAAGCAGGTTGTAGTTCTTGCAGTGCTGTTGGAGTCTATAAAATGCCCATGTCCAACACGTGTCTCCAGATTTGGTGAATGCCAAACAAGAATATCTCCGAGAACCTTAAATCCCAAGCAACATCTTCCCAGTGCTGATAAAGGTTGGAATGCACACAATCAGAGCACAGGCTCCCACTGCAGGGAGAAAAACCAAAAGGCTCCCGTACAAACAGCCTCACGTACACAGACCGTCTATCACTGTATTAGCTCATACAATGGCTCAGCTGAGAAACATTGCACTACACCCAGTAAAGGTACAGCTAGCTAAAGCCGAAAAGCCAACCGGAAACTAGATTCTGTCTGGAAAAAGGGGTTCCAGCTTTTGTTAGGCAACAAACAGGGATGGAATAAAACAAAAAGCACCAGTGCTTTAGAAAGGCATTTCCTGCCTGTAGCACGGTGGGTTTTCGTGTTCTCCCTGAGGATGTGCGCAGCCCCTCTGCCGTGCTGAACTTCAGTATGATTCCCTGCTTTGCAGCATCGGCACCGGAGGGAAGGTGTCCCTCTCTGAGCAGCCACAAGCTGGGGCTGCTCACCCAGAGAGATGGGGTGCTCTTTGGGCACCCTGTGCCCCAGCTCTCCTCCCATTCGGGCACGCAGCTGCCCAGAGGCTCTGCATCCACATGCAGCTGGGAGAGGGCCAGTGAGCAGTGCCTCTGGGACACCTCCCAAGAACAGGGGAGTCAGACGCCCCTTCAACCCTCATGTCTTTGTAACAGGTCACTGCGACCCTCCCCGGGTCACCTGGAAGGGATTTGTTCTCACACTAAGTGGCTGCATCACTGTGGGACAAGCAGATGACAAGGAGGGCAGGGGAGTGCCAGGCTGAAATGTGCCTCCAGCAGCTGCTTCAGGCTGGATGGTGCAGCAGGAGCCACACAGCCCTGCTTATACCGGCCCGGGGATGAAAACGGAGCGCCAAGGGCGCCTCCTTTCCCATTTGGCTAAAAATACTTCCCAAACCTCATTATTGGCAGCCTGGTGTCAGCAGGACCTGGAAATGCTGACACAGCTGATTTTTGCTCTGCTGTCTCTGGCAATCCTTGTTCTTTCCTTCCTCAAGTGGAGAATACATCTCATCATGACAGAAGGTTGTGGCTCTCCCTTATTTACAGGGCAGAGCCAACACACAGACCGGAGTCCAGGAGACTGCAGCCACTGCAGAAACACAGCCATGTCTTTGCTCCCACCTCTAGCAGAAGAGGATCAAGAAGTTAAAGGGATCCACTGAATTGCAGAAACTTGAAAGGGTTCATACCAACTTCAAGGAGCCAAGGATCAAATACTGGTCATGCTGTCAAGACCAGTTGCTCTCTAATGTATCAGAGGTGAAGTACCAGTGCTGGCTTCTTGTGACTGTACTTTGGAGTAGCACTCTTTAAATCTGAGGTGACTTACTGCCGTCTCCTGCTGAGGGGTTAGTGTCACATCCTGGCAGGGTGCTGCAGGATGCTTGCATTAATGTTTGTGTACCTCTTTGAAGCTGTGAACACCTGTCTACATGGCAAAGTATTTTATTAAGTTACCTGGCTAGCCAGAGGACAGGAAAGAGGAAATCAGGAGAGATCTAACAGCACCTTCCTCCTGCATTGGTGCCACATTGGCATGACCAATATAAACCTGCTTCTGCATTTGGCACATATTAAAATGGTAGAGAAGGTTCACCCACCCACACTCCCCAGGCAAGCACCAAGGGAGCATCACAAGAGGACAAAGCTGCCACTGCTCATGACAGCAGGCACTGCAGGAACAGAGGGGAGTGGAGAGATGGACACATAGAGACCAAATGACACAGGGGAGCATGGGGGATGCAGATGAGCTACTTGCCTGGGGATAGCTGGAGGGAGAACATACTTGAATGCATCAAGTGTGACAAGGGAAAACACATTGCAACTCCCAAGCTGCAGCAGATGCCTGGGAGTCTTTTTGGCTGGGACCTCATGCCTGAGCACGAGGCATTACCTTGTCTGGCACTAAGCTTGTTATAAGAGACACACTCGCATAGCAAAGTTTGGGCTCTAACCCTCTTGCTCCTGCTGAGTACTTGAATCTCCTCTCTGCTCCAAGTCCCCATCACCTTCTGCACAGAAGTAGAAAGCCTCCCCCTCCTCTGCTTTCTTTTGTTCTGTCTGCAAACAATGCCACCAGCTCCATGGGGAAGCAGCACAATGAACAAGAAAAAACGAGAATAAGAATAGTTCTGCCCCCAAGGCTCCTTTCCTACAATTACAGATCAGAAAATAACATCTATGTTCTGTAGCACTGCTAGAAGCAGTCTTGGGAAAAAGCACATGCACACATGTACACACACAGATGTGTAGAAAGACTGCACACATCTGAAGAGTGCAAGCTAACAGCCACATGCTCAGGGTGGGCCACAACGAAAGAAATCAGACATGTAGCCGAAATGGAGAGGGTAGCCACATGACAAGGTGAGCAGAGGTACTTTGAGAACATGTCCAGGCAGCACCAACTAGTGCAAGTGGTGCAATGCTCACATACATAGTTCTAGTTCCTGGCATGCCAAGGCTGGTTTCATTCACATTCACCCCAAAGACAACTTTCAGCATCCAGCTCTGTGACACCATACTCTCTGCTAGCTGCCAAGCATGTGTAGATGGCAGCTTTCCATGTGTAAGTTCTTCTCTGAGCTTTCTAAACATCTCAATCTTCATTTCCATGAAGATCTAAAGATACCCCTCACCCCACCTTGAACCAGCTCGTTCCCCATGGCTGCACAGTGCTGGAGCTCAGCAGCCCAAGCAGCAACGCGGGGACATCAAACGGGATCAGTCACGTAACTGAGCCCTCCCTGGCCATGTCCTCCTCCATGCCACATGCCTGTCCCTGCTGCATCCCACTTTATCGCTGCCTGGGACAGGCTCCCTACAGAGCTCTCAAATGCAAAGCCACCACTGCTCATTTGAAGCGAGCAGCTGTGCACGAGGTGCCTGCAGCCCTGCTGTCACCTGGCACGAGAACATACGTTTCAAGGAAATTTTCCACACGTTGAGGATGTTTTCTGAACACCAGCTTTCCAACCCAGCTGCCCGTGACTCAGGCCAGTTGGCAGAGCCAGAAGGCTGCTTTGTGCCTTAGGTAATAACAATTTAACAAGGTAACAATCTCTTTAGCCACAAATGAAATGGAAATGGGAAATGTCCTGTGCAGATAAGCTGCTGCCTGGATTATGTCCCCTGCCCAAATATAAACTCCTCTGATCTTTGATCCCTGTGCACACACACATGCACACACAGCCAAGCTGTGGCTCTGCACCTCCCAAGCCTCACCTCATTTGTCATCTTTCATCACTGCCCTCCGGTCACTTCTAGTACGCTCATCCGGCCCGTGTCAGGCACCACTGCCTGACAAGCCATACCAGGCAGATGCCTCGCTGTCAGCAGCAAGGACATGCAAGCATCACCCAGCCACCTTGCCCGATGCTCCCTTGCCACTCACAAACCCCTCCCTTGCCAGTAACACACCTGTCATCTGTGAGACGGCTGCTCTTGCTTGCCTGTTACTTGTGCACAGGCTGCCACTCACCTGCCAGCTGCCTGTCCCAGAGGACACACTCACATGCTTGGCCACGCATGCAGCACTTGTCACCTTCACCTGCACTGCCCCTCCTCCTCTGCCATCACCTCCCCTCTGCCCCAGCCATGGCCACAAGCCCCGCCAGGCCACATGTGTCCCCTTCAGGTGATCTCATGCCCACCGCTGGAAGGAAGATGATGCAAGGTTTAGCCAGCTGCTTTACCGGACAGGATGGTTCGCTGTGTCTGGGTCGAGGGCGGTGACCATCCCCACGACAGAGCCAATGTCCGCATCCTCCTGGACCTCCATCAGGTTGGAAGGGGGCCGGAACTCAGGGGGCTCGTCGACGTCCAGCACCGAGACTCGCACAATGGTCTGGTCCCGGAAGGTGCCCAGGTCCACGAACCGCGGGTCCACAAACTTATTGAGGGCCTCCACCACGACAGTGTGCACTTTTTTCGACTCATAGTCAAGAGGCTGGGGCAACAGGAGAGGGTTAGCCATACCCAGCCTGAGAAGTCCCCCTGCTACCCTTCCTTCACCAGAGGCATCAGAGGCAGCACTAAAGCCACTTGCTCCCCAGGCAGCAACCTCCATGGGAGGCTGGGAGCTCTCGCACCCATGCTCTGGCCTCCCACCAGCAGCACCCACACCGAGGGGGGGCAGAAGAGGAAGACTCCAGTCTGCTCCTCACAGGACCCCCAACCAGGCTGCACAGGGTACAGGCAGCCAGGATTCACTTGAAAGACAGCACACTGTGTGCTGCAAGTGAGCAGGTTTTGATCATTAATCACCCTGCTATTGTTTCTACAAGGGAGGTGAGCTGAATGCAGACGCCTTGGTGAACAATGATTCTTTCTTGCCTGCATCAAGTGTTTGCTTCATTGTTTTTGCAACCAAAAGCAGATACAGTCAAAGTGATGTTGGTCAGGTATAATAATTAGGTGGGGATATTTCTCCCCTAACAGGTGCTATCAATAACAGCTGTAAGCACTTGTCTCTGTGGTCCTGCGCACAGCTTCACCTATGCACAACTCACTTCTTCACTGCCACCCGGGGAGCCGCCCTGTGCAGGCTCCAGCACACACTGTGCTGCTGCTCCTTTTCAGCCTTTCCTCCCAGACACAGGTCTGCGTTTTGCCATCCAGGCAGAACAGAAGCAGGTCTCTCCCTGCACCTGCAGGCACAAAAACGCAACTGCTACTGCTAGAGCAGTGCTCAGAGGACAATTTATTTCAACTCAAATGCAGCAGCAGGAGTCCCCAGCAGAAAGGGCCCTCCTAGAGATCTGTGCCCTCCCTACCCAAACAGCTTTTCTCATCTCTCACCTTCTGTACTGTGATGACAGCCTCTTGGGTATTGCTGTCTGTGGTGACTTTGAACATCTCCACCCCTTCCTCATCCTTCACCCGATACATCATGTCCGTGTTCTCCCCGACGTCAGAATCCTCTGCCTTCACCCTCCCGATGGCAGTGCCCACAGGGGCAGTTTCAACAATGCTGAACTGATACATCTCTGGAGGAAAAAAAAGGTACTAGGGTCACTGCTTCTGCCTTTGAACCCTTTCCAGCCTGATATGATCCTTCACGTATGTCCCTGGGTGTACCCTTGGACTACGAGGGCTGCCCAAACTCTACCAGTGTCTATAGTCCAGAATGCCCTACTAGGAGAAACACATACCCCAGCCAAAAACAAGGGCTGAGGGAAAATAATTGGGGAGCACTGATGTTTCAAGGTACCAGGTAAAGTAAGGGCCGATTTCACTGTATGGATACTGCCCTGCAATCAGTGTTTTCTGATTCTTTGCAATATTTACCATTTCTAATTTCTAGGAGATGCAGCTAAAGAGCTGAGCCTCCTCCAGCTGCAGCACCCTTTCTGGTCTGCCAGCCTCACACTGCTAGTCTCTGCAGCTGGTGTGCACTGCAGAGATCGCACAGCCCACTCTTCGCAGCAGGATCCTCATTTGGGGAGGGTCCCAGAGAAGACACAAGCTTGACCCACAGGCCACTAGTAGTGACTTGGAAAAGAGCTGTCCTGTCACCAGACTGCTGTGAGCTGGGCAGCATCATGGTACCTCACGTTGTGGCAGAGCGTGCCAAACTCTGACACAGCAGCAAGGAGGGACCAGGCCAGCAGCTGACAGCCAAGTCCCTGGCCAAGCTCCCAGGAGACAGCAGCACGACAGACTGGGCTGCCTTCTCCCTCAGCACTGCTGAGAGAGGGGTCAGGAGAGGGCCACCTCTGCTCCCCCCACCACACAGCCCTGCTCACGCCCAGGACTAGCACTGGGAGCAGGGGTGCTTGTCTGGGGCCCTGGACAGGCTCAGCCAGGGCAGCTGCTGCCCCATCACCCTGCCAGGCAGGGACGCATTCAGACCCAGGCAAGGAGCTACACATGCTATGGTACCTTGGTGCCGCCACCCTGCGAGCGGGGCTTGCTCACCCTGCAGACATGTGCCAGGCTGTGCTGGGAGCTGAGCTTCTGTCCCAGCACCCACAAGGGGCCAGGACCAGGACAAGGACCAGTGCTCACCCCCCACTGCTGTCAGCACTTACTCTGAGGGAAGCGTGGTGGGTTGTCATTGACATCGGTGACTACGATGGTGACTGTGGTGGATCCAGACAGGCCACCCAGCTGTCCCGCCATGTCCGTTGCACGGATCACCACCTCATACCGGTCCTGCGTCTCACGGTCCAGGTCAGCCACGGCTGTCCGGATCACACCTGGAAACCAGCAGGACAGCATGAGCACAGGCAGGTCGCAGAGCGTCTGCCAAGTGACAGATGGGGTGAGGCTGGAAGAGGCTCCTGGAAATTACCTCATTCAAGCCCCAGCTTTAAACAGGATCAGCTAGATCTCTCAGCCTCTCCGCATATGGCGGATGCTCCAGTACTTCACCCAGTCTTCATGGCGTTTTCCTGGACTCACTCCGGTATGCCAACATCTCGCTTTTATTTCGCAGCCCAGAACCAGACACAGCACTTGTCGTCTCAAGTGAGATGTGCCGAGAAGAGGGGATGGGTCAACCCCCTCGACTGCTGGCGACGTTCCTCCCAGCAGCCCTAGGTGCTGTTGGCTGCCTCCGCCACAGCAGCACGTTGCTGGCAACAAACATCTGCTGGGCCCTGGCGCAAAGGGGAGCAAACCCTTCTGCAGCCCTCACAGAGGTCACGTAAACAAAAGCTGGCTGAGGGGAGAAAAGGGCTCTGGAGAGAAGAACAAGCCCAGTGGATTGTCAGCTAAGTGGAAACACCCCTCCCCAAGCCCAGGAATGGCCACAGGCCCAACCTGATCCCAAGCAGGTCTCTGCGGCCAATTCGCAGGCACGTTGCGTGAACGGTTCACGACTGCTGCTTCTGCTGTGGGCTAGCAGTAGCTCTGACAGGGTTCAACTCCAGCTCAGAGGAGGTTTGTACTGCTCTCCAGAGAGGCCAGGAGCAAGCGTGAAGGACTGCCGGGGGCCAGAGGCACGGGAGCGAGAGGACTTGCCCAGATGCAGGGGCTGCATGGGGCCAGCCCCAAGGTTTGCACAGGAAGGCTGTGCTAGAGCTCAGGCTGACTCACAAAACCCCTTTGGCGCAAATCTGCAACAGCCCACTTATCCTTATCTGCTCAGGCGGGAGCCAGGCTTGCTGCAGCATTCCTAACAGAACACTGGTACTCCAAGCCCACAGTGGCACCTGTGAAACCGAGCTTGGCTTGTGGCCCAAGCATGCCTGGAGGCCCCCATATTTGATTTGGAGAATGAGGGGGAGCTGTCTGCACAAAACCCCTCATTTTCCAAGGTCCTGCTGAGTTGAGACCAGAAATTATATACATGCTCTGTGTCAGGGGGTGAGAATGCACTAGGGACCATAAAGCTTAACAAAATGTATAGTATGTTAGTACTTTTTATAAAAATGAAGTATCTTAAAAAAAAAAGTGTTTATAGATACCAGTAGTCATCTGGGCTTGGTGGAAATGACCAGAACTAAAATATATAGGAATGTAAAAGAAGAAACAAAGAGTAGTAAAACCCAGAAAACACTGGCCATGGCAGAAGCTACAACTTCTTATGTCACCCAGGAGTGCTTAATTTACATGGAAATGAAGCAAAGAAAAAAAATATATTTTGAGAATGAAAGAAAGGAGTAGAAATGAGTCTGGCCTGAGGTGGCACCAGGGGCACGCATGAGTGCATACAAGGTCATTAGCAGCACATTCGCAGTCCCACTATACCACCAACACCCCAGAGCAGCTAGGAATCAGCTTAAAATCCCCTCCAGCTCAGTTTCTTAACATTCCCACAGATTTAGACATTGTTTTCTGTTTTTGTAATTGCCCTCTCTTCCAGAATTTTCTATTTAACTATTAGCTTTACCCCCTACTGTGAACTGCAAATTCTATCCTTGCTTTGTTTCACCAGTAATCCTGCCTGGTGTCAGGAAAGATGCTGGAGGGGGGTTGCCTGGCTGTGCGGTGTGGGTCTCCAGTGAGGGGGTCTGACCTGGAGGGAACAAGGAACTCCTCCCTGGCCAAGCAAATGGCAGAAAGTCATCCAGTTGCTCTCAGCAACTTGCAAGACATTTGCTGACGCAACAAAGCGACCCATGACAGAGCATCACAACCATCCAAGCCACCTGGCTCAAGGCAGACACTTCTGGAAGGGAAGCCTTCAGCACAACCTGAGCACAGTGGAGGGGAGAGCTGTGGAAGCTGCAAGGAGGCAAGATGTGGCTTCAGGGACAGACCCTGAGGCTTCCAGGCATCAACCCTCTACAGCCAGTGGGTTGCCACAGTTTCCCCATTCATGTGTCTGGTGTGACCTTGTGCACCTCCTGACAAAGTCTGTAGGAGGACAGCTCACACGAAGGAGCCACCGGTGCCGTGGCCCAAAGGCAGTCAGAAATGCCACTGAGCTGGGAGGATGAGCTTCCCTCCACCTTTGCATGACATTACAGGTGTAGCAGGAGCTGGCAACACTGTTCTGGAGACATTTCTCTCTCCCTTCTTTCTGAAACTAGCAATTATTCCAACGATTATAATTGTTAGGATTTACGATAAAAGGCATAACCACCATTCCAGATCCTTGCAGCTCCCCAGCTCTCACAGACAGGCACAACTGTCACTCAGCTTCCCCTGTCCCTCTCATTTTGGTTCTGTAATTACCTGGACTCCCACTGCCTTCAGCCCCATGAGTTCAGAGCAGGCTCTGTCTCACCACCTCTCCAGCATTTCCAGCATCTGCCTGTTTACACACCGGGGTGACGCAGCCCTGCTGTCGTTCGAGCACCAAGGTCCACGCTCCCAGCCAGCGTGCGGCTGAGACGCAGCACGAAGCACTGCAGAATTTCTGCTAGGCAGCATCCCAGCCTCTCCACAGCAAGATGGCAGGTGTTCACCCTGTGACGGGGCCCAAGGCCTGCACTGGCTCCCTCATTCATCCTGGGTCTGTTCACAGGAAGCCATTTGACCAGGAGTCCCACCCCTCATCCAAAAGGGGCCGAGGCAGCACAGACGAGGGAGCGATGAATGCACCTCCAGGCACACGTCCCAGCAAGAACTGCAACCTCCCATCTGAGAGCAGGCAGGACTGGCCTTGCACAAGCACCATTTGCCCAGGGCTGCACGGGACTGGCCTCAGCTGGTTACACTTACAGGCCTCTCCTGCCACTCCACTATGAATACAAAACCGTTATTTCTGGGCAAGCACTAGCTCATTGAAATTTAAGCAATTCTGTTAATTAACGGGGTCTGAAGCATTTTATAATGAAAATGATTTATGTCAGCACAATAGTGATGAATTGGGATGAGAGGGAAAAAGCTCATGCATTCACCAAAGCTGTAATGACTTAACTGAGCTGCTCATAATGATATAGCTCATAATACGCCATGCAAGATGGGAGGAAAGTACTCGGGCACTTCCCAGAACACCTCCAAGGTCACCCGTCCCAGCGGGGAGCCAGTCCAGGCCATTTGGCATGTGCAGAGCAGGGCAGACAAGCGGCCCCAGATGGCTCTGGTTCTTCTAGTGGCACGAGGCAGACAAAATCCTTGTCTTTGACAAGGGTGCAGACCGAGCAGAAACCACCTCCTGCCAAGATGCATGCTGTTTGTCCAGTCCATCCTGGCAAACTGGGGTCTGAAGCAGATGAACTGCCCCATGCCCCAGGCCTCCAAGAGCCCCAGCAGGATTGCCACTGAGAAAGCTGGTCCACATGAAGTTGCATGAGCCACACCAGGCTACTACCTGAAGTGTCGGGCTGGTTTTGTCTTTTAGGCTGATGTACCACATACCATTTGCTAGCGGCCTTTACAAATCAGGGTCTCCAAACATACTCCACACCAGCTCCTTGAATATGGCACTGCCACAAACACCCACGAGCAGCAAATGGCATGGTGCCATCTCCTAGAGCCATAAGAGCCTTTGGTCCCAAAACCTGACCCCTAGAGACTCTGCAAGAGCAGCAGCAACTGATGGTGGCAGACCTGTTCTCAGGGTGCAGAGACAGAAGAGGCAGGGACCTCTACTGCTGTGTGTGGAACATGGAAAAGTCCTCGCTGTCATCTCCCAAGATTCACCTTCTTTCCAGCCAGAAAAACTGCCAAATTTTGTCCTTCTCAGACACTGCTAACAAAGCAAGAACAACCTCCAGCTCAGACTTATCTCCCTAATTCTTGTCAGCATCTGTTGTAGTTGAGTAATACAGACGCATGGTGACATATCCTCTGGTACAAGGCACATGTGGCTTTCCTGCATGATCCAGATTAATCAGTATAATTACCAGACAAGGGGACACTTACAGCATCACATAAACACCATCAAATCTGCTCGAATGGGAGACACTCTTTGGGTGATAAGAACAAAGCAGGACAAAGCACTCAGCAGGTAACTGCCTTCCAGGAATCCCATCATTATGGGCTTTGCTTTGCTCTTGGATACTTCTAACTCAGATGTCCACATCCTTGGAGATCCTCTCGACCCAGCTGAGGGCAGTCAGGAGCAACATGCTCCCTGCCACAAACTGCAAAGCCAGAAAGTTGTGGAGTAATGTACATGGAAGTATCCTGAAGAGGTCTTTGGTTTAACTACAGCTCAAAGCAGGCAGTCTCCAAAGGCAGCAGGGCCACGTCCAGTGAGGTTTTGAGTATCTCCAAGGATGGAAATGCCACATTCATGGTGGAAAGTCTTCTCCTCCTGCAATTTTTGTCTTTTTACAGTGCATGCCTAAGAAGAGTCTGGCTCTGTCTCCTCTATGTCCCCTATTAGGTAGCTGGATAAAACAGATTCATTTCTCCTAGCAGCTGGGTCAGTTAAAGCAAGCAGACTCTGCCTCAGCCCAATGGTGGCAAGGCAGCTGCCAGACAGACTGCAGATTCCTCACTTGTGCCCACACCTGCCTGCAGGGACACAGAAATACCAATGTATCTGCCAAGACACAAGCGCTGCTTCAGGCATACATCCTGGAGGAAGTTAGCCCACTGCAGACAGGGTCTTAGCCCCAAGAACAAGCACTTCATCCACTACACACACAGCCCTCCTTCCTATCTTTCAGCTCAGGAGAATCTGGGAGGCAGAAGCTACAGGTGGTCTGAGCAAGGTACTGGACACAAGGATCAGCAGGTTCATGGCTCTTCAGCAAAACCAACTAAGCAGCGAAGTTAATCGGAAGGGTGCAACCTGGGGATTTCTAATGCAGTATCTTCTGTAGCAGACGGCCAAGTCCTTTTCAAACCAGGTGTGCCCCATAGTTGCTAGGGCAGCCCCCCCAGAGACAGAGCTAGTGCCACTGTTCAGAGAGGAGCATCTAGCAGCAGCTTGCTCCTGGCTGGATCACCCTTGCCCATGCCAGTGCAGTGGCCTGGACGGAGGCACCCGCAGTGAGCTCGGACCTAGATGGGCCAGCACAATTACCCTTCCTTTGTCTCTTCTTTTAGCAGCTAAATCCCTCATCATTTAATATTAATCCCCACTGCACATTAGTAGATATACCCTAGTTTCCTCAAGGCAACCAAACATACAGTTTGGTCCCAAATCAACTGAAGTTCCTGCACCAGTCTCTGAAAAGCACTATTAACATTCAGTTTTGCTAATAAGAGCACCTCATAACAATATGCACGGCTTCTCTGCAGACTGCCATCACCCATGCTCAGAGTCCCTTGTCCCTGTGCACAGCTCTGGTGAATAAGCTTCTGGGATGGGGCACAGACCTGTGTAAACCCATGAGCGCACAGACATGCACATACCAGTATCTGTGTTTCCAGGCTCCAAGGATCACTTGTAACAAACTGGCAAGAGTAGCAGAGAAACTCGTTCTGCCTCCCACCACACAAATTGAACAGTTCGTCAGCCCAGTTCAGCATGCAGCATGTTGCCAGCAACAACTCCTCTCCCAGTCTACCCTTACTACCCGGGGACTAGGTCTGTGGCTGGGTCTCCAAACAAGGCAAAGCTGACAGGTAAGGACGAAACAACTAGTGATTGCACACAAATAACCATAAACTTCATCCCAGCAGGCCAGTATTTCTTGTGCTGCTCTCCCCGGCACAAGTACCTCTTAAGCCCTTGCTGGCTAAGCCTCCAAATCAGGAGGCAGGCTCTACAACTCAGGAGCTGTTTTAAGTAATCATAAATGCCAGACTGCATTTCAGTTAGCCTTCTAAGTCCTTCTGCCTTTTCCCTGCATACAGCAGAATGACAGATTTTAAAAACAGCATCTTCCTTTCAATAAAAAGCAAGATCCCCATGCACTCTCCCGAGCTGACAAGCTGGGCTTTTAGGCAAGCAGCAAATATCATGAGGCCTACGAAGTTACGTGCTGTGATTGTTCTGTAGCAGTCAGTATCCCTGCAAAGGGATGAACAAGACTGCTGGAGCCAAGGGCACCAGGTTGTACCCCCTTTCTGGGTGTCGAGTATTTTCAGGTTTCCTCCTGAGCCTGTGGGCAGGGATTGCAGGCAGCAGCGAGTCTCCAGCCATGCTGGCCAGAGAGGAGAAAGGCCATTGCAAAGAACACTCGAACAGACATGAGCAGGCAGGCACAGCTGCCTGCAAAGAGCTTTGCCCCTATAAAGGTGAATAATCTGCAGAGGTAGAGAATGCAGGGTGATATAGAGCAATATGAAAATTTGGCCTGCAAATTTAACTGCACTCTGATTTCTCCTCTCTTATAAATAGACTGGGATTCCTATACTCTCTGTGCCCATCTCAGCACCTGAAAAGCATAAGTTAGAAAGATCTTGGTGAGGATGGGCTTCCTGGAGCTAGAAGAGGAACTAGCAGTAAACCTCTGGAGCCATGTCCTGCTGGGCAAAGCTGGGGCTCACAGCCCCCGCAGTCACGAGCCTGTCCCACAACCAGTCAGCAGCCCGCTGTGAGGTGAGAGAGGGGCTCTCTGCAGTCAGACTGAAGTGCTCTCACCCAGAGGCAACACCCACCACCAACAGCAGAAGTGTCTGTTTTGCAACAGAAGCGGCAAAGCACACATAGGTGCTGACTACTGTAAAAGCACAGCCTCCTCCAGCAGGAGCACAAAACAGTGCAATGCAGCTCACCTGCTACAGAGAGCAGACAAAGATCAGCTGCACTCTACCTGCAAACTGAGAATGAATGAGGAAGGCAGCACAAAGCCCAAATATGACTAATGCCTGCAGGCTCTTGCAAGGAACCTAGGGGATATTCTTAAAAATAGCACAGAAACAAAACTCCAAAGTTTGTGCATACAAAGCTCCCCACTCATACACCAAAAAAGCCATACTAGACCTTCAACACATGCAGGGTATGTTCTAGGACCTGATTTGAAGTACACAACACAAACCCACAGACAGTTTCAGTGTCTGAAACTTAGTTCTGAAAGCACAAGAGGTAATGGCTGGTGTATATGAAAAAGAAAAGCTCAAATACATCAGTTGTGCTTTTTCTTGGCCATCGTTCAACACTGGAAACTGGAATTATTCTCCACAGCTTTGTGGACACCAGCAAGTGCCATGCTGCAGTGCCCACTATTCCAGTGGGGACATTTATTTGCTTGTCCCCCTCCAAAACAACATCTGACACACTATGGGAATTGGGGGCTTATTGAGTGGTAGGACTTGGCATAGCATGGCATCCAGATGGTTTGGGTCCGCTTTTGAAAGGTCCATCGAATCCAAAATCCCAGCTGAATACTACAGCTAGTAACATCCAAGAAGAGGAGACAAACTAAGCAACCTAGACACAGTTCATACCCTGTACCCAAGTGTGCAAATCACATGTACTTGTACGTGCAACACCTATGCTATGAAGGACACTGAAAAGAGCTGGTTCCAAAGGCAAGGAAGGAGTTGGAAGGAGTCACTGGCTTAGGTGGCGTGCAAGGGAGCACATGCATGCATGGACCTGCAAGAAAAGGTGGAGAAGGAGGTCAAAACCAAAAGGGGAAAACAAATTGTTCTTCATTACCATATATTATAAGAAATGTAACATGACAGGTTTTTATGGTTCTTTTTATGGCCATTAATAACAATGGTGGCTCTGAGAGTTACACTGCCGCTACGGATAATTAAATCTTATACTCCGGGCAGAAGCTGGGCCACCCAGGGCAGTCAGGCCAGGATTCCCATATGGAACACTAAAAACGTATTCAAAGTGCAGAGTGGGAGCAGGATAAGATTTGCTTGGGTGGATGTGCTGGCTCCTGGCCAGTACCAAAGAGACACGATGAAACGACATCCCGCCTTGGCACCGTCAGTCCTGTACCTGCTGCCCCTAGCAGCGCATCCATGCAGGCTAGCGCTGACAGCAGGGCACGCAGCTCACACCAGGCACAAGGCCACAGGCGGTGCAGGACAGACTGCAGCCACATCTTAAGCGGCTGGCAGGCAGAGCTGCACACCACATTCCTGGAGTCCCGGCGAGCAAGCTATGAAAGACTATTCACAGCTCAGACATCACCAAAGAGTCAGCCCCAGTACCTGCTTTAGGGGTCAGATATTCTGGAAACAGACATGGTCAAGAGGGGCCAAGGACCCTTCTGCAGACTGTCAGCAGTTTTGCTTTTATGAATCACAAGCAAGTACAACAGTAAATCAACCCCTCCAGTGTATGAAACAACCAGCTTGAGAATTAAGACACAAAAAGTCAAGGAATCAAGAAGCTTGGATTCCCAGAGTGACATTAATTCTCAGCACAGTCCCACAGGGCACATTTTAGTTTATGCCTTAATACAGAGCATTAACGTTGTTGCAGGAAGCTGAGCCTCTGCACATCCTGGCTCCCAGTGGTCCTTCTTCATTCTAGCAGCCAGGCTTCCACTCACACAAAGCTGTCTCAGACTAAGAGGACTTCACATGCACCTGAAATTTTCAGTGTTGAGGCTATTGCTCATCCACCTCCCTCCCTGCACCCCCAATAAAACAAAGCAAATCAGGGAGAGAAGAAAGCTCAGGTGCAGCAGCTTCTACGCCACGAGCGGGTGCAGCCCCAGGCTTGCTCTTGTACGCTCTCCCTAGCACACCAGCCTCTGTCCAGACACTAGCACTTTCCACCACGTAACCCAGCTCTGCTGTCAGGTGTGCTTAGTAGCTAGCCAAATTTGAGCTTTCTGCCAATGGCAGCCAGGGCTAGTGGCACAGACAGGGCTGTGACTGGCTTCACCATGCACACCACGCAGGCTTTCAGGAAGCACATGGTTTCATGCGGATGCAGAGTCTCAGGGACACATACCTTCCTTACACCAGAGCCTCCAAACAAATTTCACCGTCTTACATAAAAACAGCCTTAGAAAATATCTATTAGCACAGATACAGGTCAGCCTGACAGTGACTTGGCACTTCAAGTCCAGGGGTTGATCTCAGCCTGTGTTACTGCAGTTCAGCAATAAGCGGGGGGATGACTTTGCTGTCCGGCTTTCCAGTAAGAGCTGCAGCTACCCATCCTGCTTGTCCTTTGACAATTTTTCATTAAATTGTGGGCACTTTATTGCATGCTTTGTGACTTAAATACCTCTTATTAGCATTTGACTGTCATCCCTTCTTAAAAAGCTTCCAAGGCTCCCATTAAGGGTAATGAGAGTCACACTCCTGGGAGGCAAGGAGAATATATACCCCAACATCTCCTGGTTATGGTCTACTCTAACCAGTATGTCAGAGCATCATCTGCTAGGGATTTATTACAGAGGCATTTTACAACAGGCTCTATTATAAGTTATTAAGGAATGGAGCAGCTTCTACTGTTCTTTCATTAAATATTAATAGAACATTTATAAACCAATCCTTAATTTAAAGTGTTACCTTTAATCAAAGCCCTGGTGATAACAATGCAGCCTTCGGTAAGGCCCCTCTGGTAGTACTTAAACCTTTCACACTGAAATTTTATGTGCCTGTGGTTGTGGGTGCAGTCCTGCTCTGGGCATAGAGCACAGAGGAGCGCTGGCTGGTGCAGGCACAGGCAGGGCACTCTGGGCTGGCAGCTACAGGTCTGGCTCCATAGTGCTGCCTGCTGCAGGCACTGCATGGAGCCAGACAGCAGCCTGCAGAGCTGTTGAGCTTCCTCTCCAACACCCAGTGCTGTCTATGGCACAAGTACCCCAGCACCAACAGCCAGCATGGAGGTGCAGGCCAGCTGGCACACAGCCACACACTGAACACACAGGATGCGTGGCCACAACCAGATACCCTGACGAACCACACAGACTGCCCCAGCCCTGCTAGGTGCTGCTCACCTGTTTTACTGTCCACAGTAAAGTGCTGCTCGCCCTCCAGCACACTGTAGGCTACCCGGGCACTGCTCCCATATGTGGGGTCATCAGCATCAGATGCCATCACCTGCATCACAGAGGTGCCTGCAGCAGTGACAAGGAGGAAAACAAGTCAGGGAGGAGGTGAGCAGAGCAATGCAAACATCAGGGCCAGGGGCTGACAGAACAGGAGAGCAGGGGCCAACATTGATCACTCACACACGCCAATGGAAACAAGAACAGCTGGGACTGTCATGGCTTAACCCTAGCCAGCAACTAAGCACCATACAGCCACTCGCTCACTCTCCCTCTCCCACAGTGGGACGGGGAGAGAATCAGAAGAGTAAGAAAACTCATGGGCTGAGATAAAGACAGTTTAATAGGTAAAGCAAAAGCTGTGCATGCAGGCAAAGCAAAACAAGGAATTGATTCACTACTGCCCATGGGCAGGCAGGTGTTCAGCCATCTCCGGGGAAGCAGAGCTCCATCTCACATAATGGTTACTTGGGAAGACAGATGCTATAATTCCAAACATTCCCCCACCCTTCCTTCTTCTTCGCCCCAGATTTATATACTGAGCATGACATGTGGTATGGAATATCCCTTTGGCCAGTTTGGGTCAGCTGTCCTAGCTGTGTCCCCTCCCAGCTTCCCATGCACCTCAGCCTTCTTACTGGCAGGCCAGCATGAAGAGCTGGACAGTCCTTGACTGCTCAGCGACAACCCAAAACATCAGTACCTTAACATTTTTTTCATCCCAAATCCAAAACATAGTCTCACACTAGCTTCTATGAAGAAAATTAACTCTATCCCAGCTGAAAACAGGACAGAGTATAAATGCAGCACTGCCTCTCCACAAAGGCCTGAGAGCCAGGACTCCAGACCCTACTGCAAATGCCCCTTTTGTCCCGCAGAGTGGCAGGAGGAAGCAGACCTTGGGCCACCTTGGGGCTGCTGTCTAGGCAGGACCTGCTCTCCAGGAGATCACTGGTCTGAACAGCTGGGAGCTTTTCTCCCAGCAGACTTCAGCTGGACCATGTGGGAGGGAAGGAGCTAGGGACAAGGATGTTATCGCCACAGCTGCCCCTTTCCTGTCAGCACCAAGCAACACGGTTCACCTCCAGCCCGTAGAGGGACCTCCCAGCCAGGGCCTGATCCACACTGCAGCACACCTCTGCAGCAGACAGACCTGCAAAGGGACAACAGCTATGGTAGAAGAAAGGCTTTTGCTTGCCCAGAGCCAGACACAGCACCATGTCCTCATGCTCTACACGTAGCAGAGCAGGAAGACTATAAATTGCATAAAAGTCCATCAAATGTCTGCAATTAAGTTATTGATTTTCAACACTGCCTCAAACTGGGTGCTTCACTCCAGCTGTCCCTGTGATGGCTTTAATTTGACATGATGTTCAATTTGACAAAAGCAGGACCTAGGACACAAGAATGGGTCCAGGAGCTAGGGGCTGAGATCTACAGAAACAACAAAAGGGAGGAAGGAGGGGAAGCCTAATCCTACCTACAGACACCTCTGAGAAAGAAGATGGTATGACTGAAGACCTATGAGGACAGGGTACCCAGTTCTACCTCTGGCACCAGACTTGCAGCATCCCTGCCCTGGAGGGTCAAGCACTGGCACCAGTCACCTCTCTGGTGGGATGAGGTGCAGGATGGGGAGAAGAGCCCTGAGCTGCTCATAGGAAAGATCAAACCAACTGGGAAGCTCCCTACTGCAAGGTAGTGTCAGGGCCAAATGCTGACAAGGCTGGCAGAGAAGCCAGTAATTTATAACTGACAAGATCCTTCAGCAGTGATTGCACTTAAAAGGTAGATTTTTGCTTCAGAGATGACTCCAGGGCACAAGACCAGCCCAAACTGAAAAGGCCAGGAGAGAGCATTTCACAGCTCACACTGCTGCATCCAGCAGCTCTGCTCTGCCTCACACACCTCTTAGGGCTGCTGTGCCACCAGCTGTGGACCAGAGGCACCACACTTTGGCCCAGAAACCCTTCTGTTCCGCAGTACATCCATCCATATGCCGCAAAGACAACCTCACAGGCTGGTCTTGGCTAGACCCATGTCATGAATAACCCAGACCCAGGCTTACTACTAGTTGTCAGCATCTGAGTCTAGACCCATTACATTCCCAAACACCAGATGTACACACAAAGTCAGAAGCAGCCTCTGTTCCCACATCAGTGGGCAGAACGTAGCTGTAACCATCCAGATGGAGAATGAGGAGCACCAGTCCCTGATGCCTTCCTCTTCCTCTGTAAGGACACCACAAGCCCACAGCTTGCAAGCAAGCCAGGCAGCCAGGGCACTTCTGCACCAGCCCAGCCTCGACTTCGGCAGGAGACAAGACAGCAGAGATAGCAATGCTGCTGCAAGCAGCTGGGATATGCACATGCTCCCCCCAGTCCAGTTCGTTTCCGATCTCCTGGAAAGGGTGTTCACTTAAGAAAATGAGTAGTTACCATGGTTGCTTTTCATTCTCCCTGGCCGTCTTCTCAGAGCTGCAACTCTGCTGATAACATGAGAATCCCCCTCATTCATCTTTGGCAACAAGCTAGTTCGAGTTGACTTATTTATGCTTGGCTGTATCCAGTGAAGTTATGGTGCAATCCTGCCAGGCATGTCCAGGTTACAGGCTAGTGTTACTGTGGTATAATTTGCCTTGCAAACAACTGCTTAAGAAATACTATTGCTGCATTTCCTTTAAAGGATCTGTCCCACCTCCTCCTCCTCCTGTCTGCCATCACACAACTCTTTCACCAGATATGAGCCAAGGCAGATCACCCCCACACCAGCACCTGCACTGCACATCCCCTTGGGCACCCTGGCATGTTCCCTTGGAAAGCTTCTGATCAGAAAGCTGAGAGGAAGGGATCAGAGAAGGGAAAGTACATGGCACCAGGGCCTCCAAGCAGCCCTCTCCCAGCTGCAGCAGAGAAGCCCTGCTAGGGATGCTGGAGGTGCCAAAGTCTGAAAATCACAAAAAGCATCACCTGCCCCTAGCAATAGGTAGGGCTCCTTCTGTGCCCAGCCTGGCAGCAACCAGCTGAGAGTCCATGCCCAGTGTCCACAGCAGCACCCACTCCTGCACCTGCACCGTGGTGCATCATCACCACAGGCAGAACCTGTTGACCTGCACAAACATCCTACACTCCAAGAAGCACTTGTTCTTGGCTAGGCACCTCAGAGGCAAAGGGTTAAGAGTTCCGAAACTCACCCCTACATACATGAGCCCATCAGAGTTATTCACGTGCACCTGCCCTGCATGAAGTATAACCTGTGTCAGGACTGCATGCATGCAGACAGAGCAGGTGCCTCAAGGACTACGCCACAACCCTCCGTCTCAGCCATCTCAGTGCTGTCACCCCACAGGTGCCAGCCCAGTGATCATTGCAGAGGGGCATTAGCCATTAAAAGTTTATATCAGACTCTGCATTTCATGCTGCTTCGCCTCAGATGCGTTCACTCAATTGCATAATTTACCTATTAATCCATTCCTATCAGACAAACAGATACACTCCTTGTGTTCCAGTATTTACCTGAACGTGGCAAAACTGCACCAGTGCCAGAGTCCAACAGTAAGGCAGGATCCACACCCACCTAGAGCTGGGTTTTGCTTCTCCATTTTAAGCCATTACCTGGACAAGCCAGGCAGGTTGCTGCTCTCAGTTTTCCAGGGCCAGCACAGAAGGCCACACAGGACTGCCTCTGGCTGCTGGGCACTCCAAAGCACTGGAGCAACAGGACTGTGGGGCAGCAGATCCGGGCTGCCGGGTCCCAGGCGTGAGCCCCATGTTTAGGACCAGCACTTACCACTCCACTGCAAGGGGAAACCAAGCAGCATGAGGAGCATTGCAGCAAGGCACCTTCAGCTCAGAGGCAGCAGGATCATGGCATACTGCCCTTAGGCTGAAGCCAGCAATCCTAAAGGTGATGAAGGCTCTGCTCTTCCCCACCTGCTCTCACAGCATCTCACTAACAGATAAGCAACAACAGGCAGGGAACACTAACCCCACTTTGTGCCTTGACTTCTAGTCTGTGGAGATGCAATGCAGCCTGCTCAAGGTCATCTATAGGATATCAGGAATCCAGGAGTCCAACTTTCCAGCATCCTCTCAACACCCACTTATCTCTTTCCCACCCTTCCCTCCCTCTCTATCTGAAGAGCAAAGGTCTTGAATTCCAGTTTAACCTGTTCCCCTCCTTCCTGCAGAGGCAAGCCTAGACACTGGCTCCCACCCCTGCTCTGATATCAGTCCCTGCTCTCCAAGCATAACACTGCCCACAGCAAGTACAGCATGTATGACTTAGTTTTCTGGCATAAAAGCTATAAAAGATGCAATAACTAAACATCCATCATGTACTGTATAACCCACCTCCTGTAACCAGGAAGCCTGAACTCATATCCAGAGAGATAATTAGACATGTAAAACAAGATAAAGACCTTAGTTCCTCCCCTGGCCAGCTCACCCCACAGAACCAAAAGAAGCAAACAATTTTACATAAAAATTAATGAGTCAGAGTCCATCTCTTACTCTCCTGCTGCAAAGGTGCGATCCAGCACAGCAGATCAAACTGCATTTCCCCCAGAGGAAAGGGGGGCCAAGACCCTCCCTTCCAGAGCAGTCCCCCTCCCACAGCCCATGCTGGGGCCGCAGAGTGCCTGGCTGGCCCAGCACCCTTGGGGCTGCGTGCAGGACGGGGCTTGGATCCTGGCTGCCAGCCATCCTCCAGCTCCGCAGGCCTTGCCCGGGCCACCCCTGCACCTCAGGTAGTCCTGGAGACCTGCCAGCCCTTGACTGAGCTGGGGCTACCAGCACCCAGCACTGAAAGGCACTTGGCAATGCCCAGGAGCCAGTGGGATCAAGGAGCGATTCTCTGCAAGGCCCTTCCCTGCTGCGGCCATGAGCTCAGACACCAGCCCCGCTCAGCTGCCCCCACCGCAGCATGCTGCCATGCGGAACAGCCCTTAAGGCTGGCCTGGCAAACAGCAGTGCAGCCCCAAGTGCCTTGGCCTGGGCTCCACAGAGCGCCTTTGAAATACTAATGCGGACCTGTCCTAGCATCCATCACCACTTTCCCTGCAGGACCCA